CTGATGCCTTTTAAGGTAGGTAGGACTGGCATTATTATTCTGACTTTATAGAGGAATAGGAAACTGAGGCTCAGGGAGGTTAGGGACTTGGCCAAGGCCACAGATCAAGGTCCCGAACGCAGGTGGTCTGTCTCAGTGCTGAAGTTCTTTAGACTGTACTGGACACATTGTACTTGTCACCTTCCTTGGACACAGTGTCACCATCCATTAAACCCTGACAGATTTATTACCAGCAATTTGTCATTGCTTATCCCCATAAAAGTGCCCTTAGACAACATCTGAAAATTGCCCAATGAAGTGCTCAGGGCTAAGTTGGAATCCAAATGAGGACAGGAGATGGTACACCCAGGGGAGGGGCAGGAATGCTTCTAGATAGGAGGAGACAGGCAAGGCACAGGTCCCAAAACCCAGCAGTAGGCAGTGGTAGGCAGAGGTGTGCTAGCCAGCAGGCTAGGGTCAAGTCTGGACAGACAGGGAAGAGGCTGGTCACCTCCAGAGTCTGGGTTTTAAGAACTGAGGGCCAGAATTCTGGAGGAAAAATTGTCAGGGAACTATCTCTGGCAAGAGTGTTGGGACCAAAAAAAAGTGTGTGTGTCCAGGTCAGAGACCAAGAATACCGAGAGTAGAGCCTGATATTAACTAAGGTTTGCACAGAGCGGAGGCTGCTTTTAGACTTGCTGTGCGAGAGAGAACTGGGTTAAGAATTGAGGTTGGCCAAGTCCACTTGGGAAGGCCAGAGGTCAATGAACTGGAGTGGGAGAAGGGCACGGAAGTTCCTGATGAGAGTTGTGCAGATCTCTGTTGTTTCTCAAGCTGACATTCTGCTCTCTAGGATGTTGCTGAGTTTGTTAGGAAGGCTCTGTGTCTAATAACGGTGGCAACTACTGGGTCTAATGAAAGGAAAGGCAGCAGGGGCTTTTAACGCGTGCTACCTCGGCACTTTGAATAAGCACATAGGCAATGTGCGTTTCCAGCTGAACGCTATTGAAAGCAGAGTTCAAAACACTTTTGGTCTTAGCGCACAGGTTCGCATCTGGTGGAAAACTCAGTGCGATTCTTCCTCAGCTAAGTCAGTGTAATACTTTTTCACTTCCTGTACCTGGCTCCTGACATTTTTCCTCCCAAGCATGCTGGCAGAAGGTAGCCACCTAAATAAGGCAGCAGTGTGATTTTACATTTACCCTCGCCTTTCATCTCTGACTTGGAGTCTTTCCTTCCAGTCCTTTTTTCTATGCCTTGTTAAAATTTGGTTGTTACCACAGACTAATATAACTTTTTTTTTTTTTTCTTGATACTGGGGATTGAATGGAGGGCCTTTGCACTGAGCTACACCCCCAGACTTTTTTATTTTACTTTCCTTTGAGAGAGTATCTAAGTTTCCCAGGCTGTGCTTGAACTTTCTATCCTCATGCCTGAGCCTCCCAGAGTGCTGGGATCACAGGCCTGTGTCACCACTCCTGACTGACTAATACACTTTAAAGGGTATGAGTATAAAGTGTTGGGTGTTTTGTACTCTAGGGTTGGCAGCCTTTTCCAACCACTCTACAAACTATATTAAGAGTAAAAGATCAACACAGCCAGGAGGTTCTCACTATTTTCTGAGTCCCAGGACAAAAACCAATCACCTGTTGTCCCAAATAAGAAACAGAGTGGAGCAGAGGCAGCCAGACTCTGCTGTCATTTGGATCTGTTATCCTCCTGTGGGTGACTGTTCCCATCTGGGTTACGCTTGGCAATGGTCCCAAGTTGCTGGGTGGACTCTGCTCCCTTCCTGTTACTGCTACTCTGACCTTAGCGTCCCCACACGCCCATATTGGAAAGGTCCTTAAGGGCTCATTGTTCTAATGTGATTGGCAAGTGCTTCCCAAGTTCGGGTGTCCACCAGAAAGACCTTTCAAAACACACATCACTGGGCCCCACCCTAAGAATTTCTGATTGAGTAAAGGACTAGGGTTTGGGATGGATCCTTAGAGTTTGAAGTTCTAGTAATTTCCCATGTGATACCAATGTTACTGGTCTGAGGGCCATACTTTGAAAATTGCCGATCTATAGTTTCCAAGCCTGAATTAGCTGGGAAGCTTGGTAAAATGGTGGATTCCTGACATTCATCTCAGACCTACCAAATCGAATGTGCCAGGGGTCAGTGTTCTGTCTCTCTCTCCCTCTCCTGTGCCAGATAAGGGTGCTGAGACGCAGACTCCTCCTGCTCAAGAGCCTGTTGATAATAAGGGTGCTGGGATGCAGACTCCTCCTCCTCCTCCTCCTCCTCCTCCTCCTCCTCAAGTGTCTGTTGCTATGGAAACCCATCACTTCCGGTTGGGCTTGGAAAGTTCAGAAGGATTTATATTTGCAATTTGGTTAGTTTTAAGAAGATCCCTGTCTGGACCAATCTTTTCCCCTTCTAATAGAAGTAAAAAATATCATTTTTATAACACAGTTTACCATATATTGCTTTCAATGATAACCCTATGGTATATCAGTAGCCCCAGTGTATGTATTTTCATACTGTGGCTCAGAAAGTTTACCAGTGACCTGAAGTCCCGTGATTTTCCCATTTTCCAGTGTTTGAAGACCACGTTCCAGGTGAGTGTGGCCACCTTGATTTGGAGGTTAAACTTCTCCCTCTCTTTCGGGGAGCTAGGCGAGCAAGCAGAGCTAATGGTTCCACCCAGTCCTGGGTATCACTATAGGGAGCCCCTGGGCATCAGCCTATACCTGATTTCAAGTAATTTTTTTATATAGAAAAATCTTCATGGGACTCTATTACAACCTTAGACAAAGGAATTGAGACTAACTCAATATTTATAATGTAAGTGTAATTAGGTATGCTGAACAATTAAATTGAATACATAGCTTTTGCTTTTACTTGTCACGTAAAATTCTATTGCATGAAAATTTATATTAAAAATGAGGAAACTGGATTAAATAAAATCAGAAAAAAGAATTCATTTTAGTATATGTGCTGCTGAAGCAAGCAAACACAGAAAAAAGTATTTATGATTATGGATTTAGTAAGTGGCAGAACTAGAATTTGAAGTCTGTCTATGAAACCTGTGCTTTTTGAGAATGGAAAGACTAACAATACCATGCATTGGTAAGGGTGTAGGACAACTGGAACCTCGTAGGCTGCTGAGCATGCTAAATGGTACAAGTACCTTGGAAAATAGCTTGGCAGTTTCCCCTAAAATCCATTGTACCCTTATATGATGTAGCAATCTCATTTTAGGTATTTACCCAATAGAAATATATATCTATACAAAGACTATACTCAATGTTGATAGCAGTTTTGTTTATAATGATCAAACACTAGAAACGATCTAAATTTCCAACAACAGGTGAATGAAAGAAGCAAATATCATACAATGGAAAACTACTCAGCAACAAAAAAGAGCACAATGAAAAATTATAACATGGTTGAATGTGCCAGCGGGAGGCTGTGAAACAGGTTCTGATTTTAACCTCCAATTTACAGCAGAAAATCTGAGGCCTGGGAAGGCTGACTAGCTTGCCCAGGGCTAAACAGCCAGCAAGCAGAGGTCCATAGGGTCTGGTCCTGGCCAGCTTGTCCTGGAGCCCGGCCACCTGATCTCCAAGCCGGGGAAAAGCTGGATCACTGCTCCTCCTTTTGCTCTTGGGGTGTCCTGCTGGACCCGCCCCTTTTCTGGCTCCCTTTTCTCTCCGGAAGGGTGCCCACTTCTTTGCTCAGAGTTTTAGAACAGGCTCCCTCTGCACAAAACACAGTCCCATGTAAGGGTGACTCATTTGGACCTTTCTGCACCCCTCCAACTACAATACATCTCTAATCTCGCCTGATGTTCTCCCTCCAGCCTCTTCATTCTCCTACTTCCTCACCTCAAACCCCATCTCTGGCTCCCTTCTCTTCTCACTCTGTCTATAGCCGTACCTTGGTGGAAGATTTCTGTCCGGCTTGATTCTCACACATTTTCTTCAGTGAGGAAATTAAATTATCTACGCCTCCAAAGGTTTTGGCAGATTTAGGCTGGCAGGATGCCCAGTGAAATTTGAATTTCAGAGAAGAAGCAACAAATATTTTTAAAAATATAAGTATTTCTATGCAGTATTTGGTACATACTTATACTAAAAAGTTATTTCTTGCTTCTCTGAAATGCACATTTCAGTCAGTATCCTGTATTTCATCTAACAATCCTGGCTCTTCTGCATGCCATCATTTTGGTAAGACAGACAGGGTTTGGCAGAAGCTCCAAGAAGACAAACTTCCTGAGAAAATCAAAGCAGCCCTTCAGGGCTCCTTCCCGTGTGTGTCTACCGTCCACACTCCTCTGGTTTAAGCCTCCACCCCAAAGTGTTTCCTCTTAGTCCCCTTGCTCCAGGACCTTTTCCTGTCTCCTGCTACCCAGTCACTGGTGCTCCTTGGGTCATTTGGTCCAGCTTCTCCAGCTTCACATACGGTGTCACTCTTCAGCTCCAACTTGCCTTTGCTATAAGTGCGTTCCCTGCCCCTGCTGGCCAGGCCACAGACTCACTGTGCCAAGGTCAAAGGCCCAGCATGTTCAAGTCATCAGTGCCTTCCACTTCCACCCGAGGTGACAGCAGAGACACTAACTCAGAGAACTGACTTTCCCATCCGTCTCCTCTTACTACATGTGGGTTCCAGCAGTAGGCCCAAGTCATTGCCAGGGTAGAAATTAGGCAGGTCTCTAATCCAAGAGGCAATTTTCAAGTGCATGCTGGACAAAGGAACTTAAAAATGTATCATTAGTTGGCTAATAGTAAAAAAAAAAAAAAAAAAAAAAAGGCCTATATTCAGTTTTATGTTAATAAAATTATAATTGTTCTAGGCAAGTAACAGGAAACCTTTTAAAACATATTTTTATTAGTGCTTATTAATTTTACAAAAATTGATCAATGTAGTATTTTCATACATGCATATAATATGTTTTGATTATATCCATCCACCACTATCCTCTTATGTCTTCCCCAAGAAATCTTAAGCTACCTGGGGAGATGTTTTACAATTCTTTTTTTTTTTTTTTTTTTGTGGGCATAAAACATGTGTAAACCATTTGGACTTAGGCAAGGTAAGTGAGAAGCTATCTGTAAGAGGGCTTGGTTCGTTTACAGCTGCAGTATTTTAGAGGGGACAAGGGATTGAGTTTGTTTAGGGCAGAGGTAAAGTCCATCAATATGGCACCGCTACCCTGTGAGCACAGCAGTAAAAACTGTCCACTCAGAGAAATTAGAGAAGGAAGTCGCACAGAGCTATCAGGGAACAAGACAACAGCATATGCAGTTTAATTAAGCTATTCACGTGCAGTCAAGGTAGTAAGTAAATTCCAGGCCTGGAAAGGAGCCGAGGTCCTGACTGGGAGAAGTGAAGAAGAATGAAGGAGAAGGTGCTCTCTGAAGTTAGATCTGGAAGGCTAAAAAAGTATTTGGTTCCAGGCAACAGAGGGTGTTGCTCCAGCAGGCTGTCCACTGGGCACTTGGAGAGGCCAGGGTGGGTGACATCTTTGCCATTGTTCCTGGCTTGGGCTCCCACTGGAAGGTTTGCTCACAAGAGGGGTCAGGATGAGTTGGTGTCCCTAAGGTGACTGCCCCTGCAGCCTAGTGTGTAAAGTTTCTGAAGACTCCAAGCTCAATTTTAATGTTCTCGGATTTGAATGTATTCCTGGATCGTTTGGGAATGAGGCAGTGGCATGATTACTGTAGGAAAATATTTAGCTTGAAAGTTTGTGGAAACACAAATTGCTGTCTGTGTACACCCCGAGAAGTTCAGGCTTTGAAGATGGGGGAAGGGCCCTGTAATCTTTTTAACAAGCTCTCCAAGTGATCTGATGTCAGTGGAACTTGGACTACACTTGAGTGTATCCTCAATCCTTGGTCATGCAATGCCTCCACTTAAAACAATCCCTATTGTCTATAAGACACAGTGAAATACTTCCTGGGTGAAGTCTAATTCTTCAGCATAGCTTGTAAGTTTCTTCATGGTTTCCCAGACCTAAGTCTTAAGGAAGATGACATTGTAGGAGACATAGCATCTCACCAATTAAATAAAACATCCCAGTTCTTGTGTGTGTGTGTGTGTGTGTGTGTGTGTGACCTTGGATTGAACCAAGATCTTTGCACTTTGCCACATTCTTGGCCCTTTTATTGCTTTCTTTTTGAAAGTTGCTAGATTGCCCAGGCTAGGCTCAAACTTGTGCTCCTCCCACCCCTTTGTGAGGAGGGCATATACCAGGTCCTTAGTAGGAACCAGCTGCTCTCTTGCACCTTCTGATCGGCTCTGACCACCTCTATATTCCCAAACAGTTTCCTGTTCATCACACCACTCCATGCAAGGTGAAGGCTGCTGTGATTAGTTTTCCTCCCACTGAAATGCAGCCTCTCTTCAACCCCAGCCCCAATGTCCACAGCCTGTTCCCTGAGTTTTCCAGAGTCTCTCCTCCTGTCTTACACAACTCCTTCTGTGCACCTGTATCACAGTGCCCACTGCATTTGCTTATATGTTTGTTTCTCTGTCCAGCCCATAAGTTCTCAAATGTGTGTGGCCACTACCCAGGACAGAGGACACCCTCTCCCTTCCTCCAGGGACAATCCCACAGTCATTCTGAGTCCAGCAAACAGCTTTAACTGAGAACTGCCCTCTGTCACTTGGAAGAGCCCCATGGGTTGCTAGTGTAGGGATGGGTTGTAGGGATGCCATAAACTGCTCCCTGGGGCATGATCCAATTCAGTTGAGGACCAACCCTAATCTGAAGCAGGATCCATTAGGGTGGAGTAAAATACTAAATATTACTACTTACACACATTTTTTTTTCACCTAAAAGGAAGAATTTTGCCTTCCTAATATTTTATTTGTGCCTAGACCCTGGCAATGGCATGCCTATGTCACACAGAATACCAGATGGGCAGTTTTCTCTCTTAATGTGCTGCATTGAGTGTCCCCAAAAGTCATGGAACTAACAAGTAACAGAAACAGAATTTGAAATCTGTCTGACAAGTTGTTAGATAAATTAAAGCAAAGAGGCAAATAGCAGAGCTGGCAGACCTCTGATAGAAAGGACTCTTCCTAGCCATGGTATAAAATAAATACAATGATGATCTCATCAGAGCTGATAGGAAGACACATCGGACTTCCCCAGAAGTCTGAATTGAATATGAGTGATACCCATTCCTCCTGGTACTACCCAGCCCTTCCCTACACATAGCTGGTGCCTTTAGATGTAAGCTGGTAATAAGAAGGCATGTATGAACCAACAAAACATTTAAAAATTAAGCACCCAATCCATCTTGACAACCAGCACATTTTTAAAAAGCAATATTTGGAATCATAGAGTTCTAAATTCAAAACCTCACAAATTTCACTTGATAAGTGTCACAAATGTTTAAAAGCTTTCTTTTTTTTCCCCTTTGCCCTCCCCTTTTAAGTTTCTTACTAGTAGTGGTAAAGTGCCTCATGCCATAATAATTAAATGAAACAAGGAAAATCACATAGCAACAAAAAGGACAGGTATTTCCCTGCACGCACTGTTGGACATACATGGAAACATTTCCAAGTGTTAGACCAAATTATGAAGCATTTGGCAGCTGGCCAAAATATAGATTAAAAACATGTCTCAGCCTAAGATATTTGTGGGATTGATTCAGTTATGAAATATACATAGAATTGCTGTATATGTGTACCATTAAATTAAAAAATGTACCACTGAAGATATATTCTCAGGAGAAAATTACTACTTTAACACAAACTATGCTTTCTGGCTGAGGGTGTATCTCAGTGGTAGAGTACAAGGTTGCTTAGCATTGTGAAGGCCTGGGTTCAGTCCCTAGCACCAACTATAAAACTTGGCTTTGGAAAAACAGTGGAAGTGTCCTAACTAATAGTTATTGCTTTAACTAAAATCAAAAGATTCTTGGGTAAGAATACAAATACAGAGCCATAAATGAGATTCTTTTGCTGTGGTATTTACTGGCAAGCTAAACAGCAAAGTCAGAAGTGCCCAGTGTGTGATAGGATATCATCCATGTGGAAACTGTCACGAAGATAAGACTTGCGAGGTACACGGAATTCCAACAATGCTCTGTGATGAGATTAGGTGGTCACCCTGAAAGTATGTTGGCAAAGCGCTTGTAAGAGCCATTAAGCTTGAAGATTAATTATGCATTTTTAATCATAAACAACTTTTTTCAAACATGTTGACCTTCTCTGATGACAATTCTGTTGTCAGTAATATGTCACCTAACAAATATTTTCAAAAATATAAACTCATTTGCTAAGAACAGAGAGGAAACAATTATTTTTTGAAAGTAATTTGGTAGTGTGGACACGAAAGTGCTTTTTAAAAATGAAAGTCAGGGCAGATATCAGGAAATTTGCTGCTTTTATATGATGCTGCAGCTGGAAATGATGGGCTCTGACAATATTCTCATATTTGTGTACATTAAAAATCTTGGAAGGGGCTGGGAGTTTAGCTCAGTGGTTTTGCCGCCTGCTGCTCAAGCTCAAGGACCTGAGTTCGATCTCCGGTACCAAAAAAAAAATCTTGGAAATAAACTTATCAAATGGTATTTCAAAAATTTCAAAAGGAAGCATATTGGTGAAGTTTGAACCCTTTGCAAAAATGCAACACCTTCCAATTATTTTGTCCACCCACCATGCACAAATTGACATCAGGCAGAAGAGTAATTCACAAGTGACATTTCAACAAAAGTCTGTATAGTTTTTTTTCTTCCCGTGCTGGGGATCAAACTTAGGGTCTTGAGCATGCTAGACAAAAGCTGTACTGTTGAGCTACAGCCCTAGCCCCAAATCTTCAGATAGTTGAGAATCACAATTTCATCAACATAACCAACAAGGTACATCTTCCATTTGTAGGTACCTATCTTTGTAAGGAAACTTTTCAGCCATGCTGACCTTTGAAATCAAGTTTAGAAATAAAAGTAACGCTGTTTTAAATCAAGATTTTAGACATAATGAAACATACTTGTCAAAATGCTCTCCCCCGAATAGTATCATTTTAGCCAAAGCAAAATGCTTATTTCATCTGTATCTTGTTCAAAAATTTCTATTTTGGGGCCGGGGATTTAGCTCAGTGGTTCCGCCGTCTGCCTCGAAAGCACAAGGACCCGAGTTTGATCCCTAGTACCAAAAAAAAAAAAAAAATTTCTATTTTTGTGACTGTTTTATGATTTGTATTCTAGCAATACATATAAAATTTATACGTAATCTCCATATTGGGGTGCGTGTGTCAACAGTTTCTGCTGGGGAGGTACAGTGGAGAAGCGGGGTCCTTGCATGTGGTGGCAGGCCTGTGACCTCCTCCTGCTCGGGGCTTGTGAGGAGCTTCTCCCCCCCCCCCCCCCCGGGAAGGGAGGCATGGATTGGTCGAGGTCTTTGTCATAGGAACGACATCGGTATCAATTTGGGAGGACCATAGCACTAAATCAATAAACAGCATGTAGCAGCGCAAGAAACGCAATCAAATAAACTATGAAACTGAGGCAGCTCCTAGAATGCTCCTAAGAATTGAAAGCTTTGTTGGCACCCTCTCCGTGCCAGGCCAGGCCCTGTGCTTTCCTCCCTGGGACTCCCCACAGTTTAACCGTAGCTCTGAGAAAGGTGAGGCAGTTTGCAATGCCAGTGGGGTAGGTTTCCCAACGTGATCCCTTCCGGAAGGGGCGTGGTGGCCTGGGGAGAATTCAGAAAGCCTTACAGTTTCCTTCCTCCCTCCAGGGGATTTCAGACCCAAAGGCAGCCTGGTGCTATGCCCTGTTGTGCAAAATTGGTTACTAAAATAGAACCGGAAAAAAAGGTTGAACTTGAAGCTTCGTATATAATGACTCTGTCGATCTGCCGGTCCCAGGAGGTGAATGCTGAGCTGTTTTCCCAGCAAGTGGAAAAAACCAAGCTCCCCTGTGGGGCTCCCTCCTGGCCTTTGCCTCGGGGTTGGGGCACCTTCCTCTCTAGGAGGGCTGACACCTCTCGGCTCCTTTTTTCTGCCCACGCAGGGGACAGAAGTACAGTAACGGCTTGTCACTCTGGCACTAAATGGTCTAGGCAGGGCCAGCCTGGTGAGTATGTGGCTTGTGAGTCACACAGGGCCCCGTGTTCAGAAGGACCTCATGCTGGGTTTCATGCTTGCTGTTGCTGTCATAAAATTCCTAGTTTTAAACCAAAGGCCTTGTATTTTAATTTCACACTGAGCCTTGAAAATTATGTCACTGGCCTCTGGTTCAGGCCAAGATGGCATAGTCCCAGCAGGGCCACCTTGGGGGACTTGCTCCAACTGATGGCCAGCCCTGGTGGCCCACTGCTACCCCTGAAACCAAGCCTAGAAACAACCCTAACCTCCACCCACACTGTGAAGAGTTGTATTACAAAGTCCCCTGGGGAAGTGGGCAGAGAAGGCAGCTGCCTCCCAGGATGATCTGGGACTGAGGGGGCCGGGCTGTGAGACACTGCCCTCCCTTCCTTCCTAGACCTTGGCTTTGGCCCACACAAGATGCAAGCTCAAGGAGGCTGCACCATCAGCTTCTCCCATTGGCCTGTTGGGACACCAGTAAAGACAGACCATTCCGAATTGAATTTTAACAATGCTCACCAAAGGGGGCTGGGGATTTAGCTCAGTGGAGCTGCACCTGCCTCACAAGTGCAAGGTCCTGAGTTCGATCCCTGGTACCAAAAACCCCCAAAACAAAACCAAAACAAAAGTCAGCGCTGTGCCCTGTGGCCACCCTGCCCAGCCCCAAGTGTGGGACCCAGATTGCTGCTTCAGTTGTTCCTCCCAACAGAGAGGCTTCCCTGGAAGCACCCAGGTTAGGCTGCCTGCACCTTTGCTAGAAACAGAGGGCCAACAATGTTATTCCAGACTTAGGTTGAAAACCTATCGAGAACCAGGGTAGGTGATACACTACAGAGGCTAGGAGCGGTAGGACTGATGAATGTGCTTACAGCCCAGGCTGGCACACAGGAATGATTACAGCTTCTGTTCTTCAGGCATCTGCTCTGTTGCAGACCCTTTCATTCAGCTCCTTCTGTAATCCAGTCTTTTGGGGTAGGCATCCTCCCATTTTATTACAACTAGAGAAATAGGGTCATTCTAATAACGGGATTAGAATCCTCTTTTGCTTCATCTAATCCCCAATTCCCCAACTCTCCAGGCAGAGCAGATTCTTTAATCACCGACCCTGATTGTGCTTGAGATTGTAGTTGATTATGAAAAATGAAATCCAAATGTCCAAAACACTGTTCTGGGAATACATTTAGGGGATGCCTCCATTTCTTCTCATTTTACCTGCCTCTCTTCCTTCCCTGTACCTGCTGCCCAGTGCTGTCTGAAACTGGTCTGCCATAGCATGCTTATTTCTGGCTGATGCATCAGACTCATGGGGTGGTCCAGAGCCCCTCGAGGAGTCAGAAGGACCCTTGGCAGGTTGCAGTGCCAGCTGCCAGGATCATGGAACAAGCCTACAGTGACGAGTCTTCTGAACACTGCCAGGAGACATGGTGGTGCATGCTCGAGTGACCGCCTCTCACTGGACCCTGACCAGCTGTACTGCTTCTGCTAATTCAAAACTGGTCAACATCCCACATGGCCAGGAAACCATAACCCTGAGGTTTTCTTTTCAGTAGTCAGAGGTCCACAAATCAACATGACTTTATAGTGTCTGGGCTCTAATCAAATAGTGAACAGCAAAAATAAACACAGATACATTTTAGACACCCATTTCTTAGACGTGGCTGTTAACCATTAACAGGATATTTTTTCACTTATTCCCAAGTTTGGGATACTTTTTCCTAATAATGTACTTTGCTTATCTTGTAAATTTGTGGTATGGATCCAATGAGAATGTATTCAAGTGCTTTGTAAAATATAGGCTGCCAAGTCTTTCAATCAGTATGATTATTTTACAAAGTTCTTGGATCATATATTGGAGTAAATGCTGATATGGGAATGAGGGAGGGAGTGAATTGTTGAAAACCTATTTTTAAACTTGTTTTTATCTCATTTAATTTTTACAAAAGACTGAAAATCCGCAGGATCTGTTCTTTTATCTGTAAGATCAAGATAATAGCAATTGGTGGATTATGAGGATTACTGAGTAATACAGATTTACTGCTATAAAGCAGTGTCCAGTATTCAGTCCACATGCACTAAGTGTTGGTTCCCAAAGTGCCTCTCCTATTGCTTGAACACATCTGTTGAAGTTTATTTTTCTTTAATGACAAGATAATGTCTGGGCTCTAGTCAAGTAGTTCTATTTGGTTCTTCTTTCATAAATCTGCCTATATGTATAAATGTATAGCACACACGATTATGTACAGGACATAATACTTGATAGTAATAATTATGTTATTGGTTTATGGATTTACTGTACTGTACTTTTTATCATTATTTTGGAGTGTATTCTTTCTACTTAAAAAGTTTACTGTAGGGCTGGGGATGTAGCTCAGTGGTGCCACACCTGCCTGGGAAGCACAAGGTCCTGAGTTCAATCCCTGGTTCTCGGGGTGTGTGTGTACTGTAAAACAGTATGCCGCATTACCCCAACAGTGTCCTTGTTCGTCTTGTGTTTACTACATCTGTTGATTGTATCCAGACCAAGACTGATTGACCTTGACCTCAGTGTGTGTAAGTCAATTCCATGATCACACAGTGACAAAATTACCTAACAATGCATTTCTCAGAACATATTCCCACACTTAAGCAACATATCCAAGGTCTTTCTTCAATGCTATTATTATGTAAAACATTGTGGGTCCAGTCTTGCCTGTTATATCTGGTTCTCACAAGGATTGTTTATTCACTTTTCTAATTAAAAGACTTACTAGCTGCTATAACTCCACACACTGTATATGCTAAAAAAATAAATCATAGTTTCTAAAGTTAATTTTCTAAAAAATCACATTACTAATCAGAGATGTTTGAGTTCTTCAGACCAATTTGAAAAAGAGGGATGGTGGGGCCATTATTACCTTAGAGAGATAATGACTCTTTTTCTAGATTCTTCTTTTATACCACATTTATTTGCAATTTGGCCCAATTCACTGCTGGAGTTGGTGGCTTTATATTTTGGGGTGATTGTGCTTGCTTCAGCAGCACATATACTATATTTTGGGGTTATTCTCCTACCCTGGACACCAGCATTCATTTCCAGTTTGTGATGAAAGTATAACTGAGCCACTGCCCTCTTCTGAGTCGTAGTTTCCTTGTCCATAAAAAGAAAGCAAGGGTGAGCAAAGTGTCATCATTATGCACTAGGGTGCCTGTCCCAGTGCAAGTACTATAACTATGTATGCCAACTTTTATTAGGATATTTTTCTTTGTATCAATCTTTTCTAACAGTTATAGTTGCAAATCAAAGGTAGCCTGATACTACAACCATCATAGCCGCGGAAGTGCAATCACCCCCTTCCTATTTCCGCAGTGTTCTTCTAATCCAACCATCTGGCTCCTCCGTTTTCACTTTTTATGCCTTTCTTGTCAATATTCATTAGACACACCATGGGCTCATTTTCTTGGGCCTCTAACCAAATCATCTCTTCATCTTTCAGAGCTCAATTAAAGTTCCAAAGCTTTGACAAAATTTAATCCACATTAATTTCTTTTTTGAATTTAAAAGCCTCTCTAAAGCACACACCAGTGTGTAGTTTCCTCAGGATTTGGTGGCTTTGTTCATGACCTGGCTTTGGGTGTTGTCCTAATTAGACTATTTTCCTAAAAGACAGGAACATGGCATATATCCAGTGCATACAGGTTGAATATCTCTTACGCGAAATGGTTGGGACCAGAGGTGTTTTGGATTTAAGATCCCCTCCCCCAGATTCTGGGAAATACATAGTGAGATAGCTTGAGGATGTGACCCAGGTCTAAACACAAAATTCATTTGTTTCATATACACATAGCCTGAAAGTAATTCTATACAATGTTTTCAGTATACTTGTATTATCACTCATCCCATGAGGTCAGGTGTGGAATTTTCCACTTGTGCTGTAAAGTTGGTGCTTAAAAGTTTTCAGGTTTTGGAGCATTTTGGATTTCTCCATTAGGAAGGTGCAACTTATATAATACCACCAGTTACAAGTAGGTGCTCATGTATTTTTGTTTTTGTTTTTGTTTTTTTGTTACTGGGGATCAAACTCGGGACCTTATGCTTTTGAGGCAGGCGCCAGGAACCACTGAGCTAAATCCCCAGCCCATATTTTTGATTTTTGGCTTTTTCAGAATTTATCTGGTGGGAATTTGGGTCTGGTGTGTGGTTGCGTCCCTCTGGAAGGGAAAGGGTTTCTCTGTTTTTGCCAAGTGCTCCTTGGTTAACCAGCCTGGGATCCCTTTTTACATTTTTCAGCCTGGATTATTTAGATAGTGTGAATTCTATCCCTCAGCCCTCAGATGAGGGCAGACTTGTGGATGTGAATTTCAGGAGTTTTTGAAATGGAAGCTACTAGAGGAATAGGAACTGAGTGGGTAGGTGGGGAAAGGTGTGGTTTTAAACTCCTGGATTTAATGGTTTATCTTGACTGACTGCAACATGGTTTTAACCCTCAAGTGCAATCTAGGATGTGTGACTCAGTCCTTACATTTTCAGTCCAGAGGAGGAGTAGGAAAAGGTATGGTGCTCCCATTTTGCTGAGATAGGAACAGAAGCCTAGAGAACTCTGAAACCAAGTGTGGGTCCTCTCTTCTGTGTTTTCAAAATGAGAGATGGACTCGCACGAAAGGAAGGCAGGTAGTCCTCATCTGCAAGCTTCAGCTCCCCAGACCCATCTCTAGGCTTCTGCTCTTCTCCTGACAGCTGGGACCTACCCTGACCCTTTGGAGAAGACTTCTCATTTCTAGTTGTGCAGTACGGAAGAGTTAGAGTACCTTTATACCCAGGAGCTGCTTTTTCAAAAGTGCTGTGAGAAAAGCAGAATGGATACCCTGAGACACTGGGGTCAGCCCCAAAGGCTGCACATTTAGTCGATGTGACTGAGGTTCTTGACTCAGGTTCTTTGTCATCCCAGGCTTTGGGTCAGAGGGATAATGATATCTTCCTGGATTCTTTGTTTTTATGGAGGTGAGATGTACATGACATACAATTTTTTAAAAAGCGAACAACTCAGTGGTGTTGAGTGCATTCGCAGTGATGTGACACCACCACAGCTTCCAAAAGTTTGCATACGTTCTGCCAGGGCTTATGTGCAGAGCGAGAGAGAATCGCACAGGGCATCCAGGGCAGGGCCTTGGCCCTAGGAGGAGCTCAAGAAAAATATAGGCTCAGCTTTTATTTTTAGACTCTCTAGGCTTCTCTGAAAACCCTAATGTAGAACTAAGAATTATTGCCTAACTTAGCACTGTGAGAAAATCAGGTTGAGGACATATGACATATTCCTTTCCCCCGCAAGTAACATGTCAAAATTGCCCTCTTCCAGGGGCATTTTTCCTAAGTCTCTAAGGCAGCCAGAAACATCTACCTATGGATGCCCCAGTACTTGATTACACACTGTCACATAGCCTCTGCTTTTTGAGGTTTGTGTTCTTGGCCAGGCTGTGACATACACAGCCATGGAGACTCCACAGTACTCACATTGTCCTGGGTACAAAACGAAAGAGGTGGCAACCAGTCATGTGCCAGACAGAATTGGATAGTGGCCAGCCAGCTCCGAAAGTGTAGCTACCACCTGGTGACCAGCATTTTCCTGACCTTTAAATCTGTGGGTTTGGTGAGGGAGGGTTCATTTATCTCGGTGTTGAGACAGAGCCGGCCAGGGCCGGTCCAGGCTCTGGCCTGCATCCCTTAGGCAGCTGTGCCCAAGGCAGGACTGAGAGACCTGGGCTCTCCCACCCATGTGCTCGGCAGGTAGAGGTGAGGGCTGCAAGCAGGCTAAGCTGAGAACATAATGGGTTTGCTCTTTATTAAATTTGCCAATTCCAGGAGCAGAGGCCTGAAAGAAGTCATGATGGTCCCTTTGACTTCCTATGTCACCAGGTGTTGAAGCTGGTGGCCAGAACTGCTGCAGGAGAGGGCTGGTGAGGAGTGTGGCTGGGGATCTGCTCGCGAGGGCCTAGAAGCTGGAAACCCCCCGGCTCACTGGGGGAGCTTTCTTCTGGTGACTTCCAATGGCTCTCCACACGCTCACCACGAGGACACTGATCATGAGGCCACCTACCATGAGGCCACCTACTGCCGCCACTGGCACGGTCCAGTAGAGTACACTGGAGGCTTCTGCGGCCTGGTCTGGGTGTAATGGGCTATTCTGAAGGGTGTAGAAGTAAGGGCTCTCCTACAGAGGAGAACAGGAGGGTCAGAGGTCATCCACTTGTCTGTGTGCTTAGTCCCCAGCCCTGATGAGCACGATAACCTCGCATGTTTTCCCATCCCTCCCCTGTGTGCAGTGCCACCATTTACACGTGCAGGAACCTTCTGTACGAGGGTTAGGGTCTCTTAGGTCAGCATCCAGCCGTGACCTCCCCTTAATTTCTCCCCAGCATCTCCTTTCCTGGCAAGTCTGTCTTTGAAAGATGGGGGACTGACAGGTGACAGTCTATTTGAGTCCTGTTGGCAGCTGGCAGAGCTCCTACTGTCCTCCAGATCACTACGGGACACTGGTCACTACTATTCCTGCCTCCCATCCCAGAGTGCCAAGGGCCCAGGGGCAGTCTCTGCAAGAGCACAGCTGGCTCTGCCTTCCCAGGTCCTTTACTTCCTTTCCCCCTCATTTTCTCTCTCAGTGAACACTAATTGAGTGCCTGCTCTGTAGGGTCACAGGCCAGGGGCCAAGTCAAGTATCTGAGGGTTAAGACGGAAGATCTGCTATCATTACCCAATAGGAAATGAGACATGTACAGAAACAACCAAACACAAAGGAGAAAGCATAGAAGCAGAGAAGGGAGATCACCATAGGGGTACATCTAGGGCAGGAACAGTAGAGAAAGTCAGGGTGCAATCACAATCCAGAGATAGGACCAGCTGGGCTTAGGAGGAGGTAAACGTCTTCACAGGCAGAGAGGGGAGGTGAGCCACCAGGAGCAGAGGGGAGAAGTAAAAACACAGACAGAAATCACGGGGCTCATCTGGGAAGTGTAACCATCTGCCAGGAGTGTAGAGTGCATAACAGAGGGGCCTCCTCTCCGGACTCTGGGCCTGGGCAGTAGGGCCCAGGCAAGGATTTCAACACCTGGGAAAGGCTGGGGTTACTTTCTAGGAAGCAAATGTAGGGTGATGGAGAAGGGAGAGAAGAGAGCTGGAGAGACAGACTGGGGTGGCGTCAGGTCCAGGTGAGGGAAGTGGGCATGGAGAAGGAGGAAGAGGTCTGAGGTCTCTGGGAACAGACACTGGACCTTGCTCCTCTTACAGTGCCTGCGGAGCTCCTCCACGCATGTCTAAGACCCAGGATGCTCAGACCCCTCACAACAGTAAGGAATGGCTGCAGGCACCAGGCCCTTGCTCACTAGCTGCCTGCCTGTATGACTCCTTCACACCACTGGGGCTGGTGGGCCTTCTCTCCTCGGCTCAGTGGCTGCCACACCCGAGGAGCTGGGGCATTCCAGTGGCGACGAGAAAAGGAGAGCTGAGTAGGATGGCAGTGAGTGACCGTGAGCAGAGGCCTCCAAAGGCTCCTTTGTGCCTCCAGGTGAGTGGACCCTCACTTTCCCCTACCTGGCAGGACTTTTACTCACAGGGGATGGGCACTTGAGTTTGGCTCGGCTGTAGGTGAAGTTGTTGAAGGTCGTCTTCTGGCCCACTGGTTCCAGCTGGAGAGAGAAAGACACCTTAATTCCCTCCAAAGCTGGGAGAGCCTTCTCTGGTGCAGAAGTAGCTTATGTCGCATTCCCTCCCTTTCAAAGGGAAGGTTGGAACCAGCAGTGTGACAACATCCATGGCAGAAACCAACCCTGGGCCAGAACCAGAACTGGCTTCTGATTCACACAGTGATAAGTTTGAGTTTGTCTAAGCAGGAAAGGACCCCGAGCTGATGCCCCTGGATTTACCCAGGAGAACACCAAGGCCCAGGACACTGTGACCAGTCCAGAGTCCAGAGTCCAGAGCATGTTCTGGAAGAGCTGGGACCACAACGGCCATCGCCTGGTTCCCTTCGTGGGAGGCAATGATTGCAGACTCTGTATTTTCAATTTTATAAAATGGTGATAATCATATTTACCAGCTTGTCCAAGTGCGTGGGGCTAGTCAATTTCAGGAAAACTTTGAAAACATATTGGTTACCATGACACTCTTACTACACTTGGCTTGTCAACCTTAAGAAACTGGAATATTCTCACTTGAGCTGCTTTATGTGTTTATCACACGGATGAAAAGATTCACTTGAAATATCCCCGGGACTAACTGTGGTTTGGTGGGGGTTGTGCTGAATGTTTTCCAACTCGGGAACCTCTGAGAATGAGCTGAAAGCTCATCTTAGCAGCGTCTTTAGCCAGTAGCCTGCCCCTGACATGTGGCCCAGACGGGGAAGGACAGAGGTGGCACTTTCACCTGGTCACAGTATCCATCCAGAATGCCTAGCCTCCACCCATCCTACCACCTGCTTCCTGCCTGATCCTGACCCCCAGGGACTGCCAGTGTGGAACGTGAGAGGGCTCTGTCCAAACTGGTGACCACAGCCAGCCCATGAGCTCACTTTCTGTTGTCTTAAAACCATTTGCACCCAGTCCTGAGTACCACAATTAAAGGAGGAAGGGCAGCTCTGGTCCTGGGAGAGATGCCAGGGTGACTCAGCTGACCACAGTAGGCAGATGGCTGGGTTCTGACTCTGCCCACAATGACCATGCAGTGCCATGCGGGCTACTTAACATCCCCAAGGTGGGGAACATGCGGTCCCGAGAGCTCCAGGTATGGTTGTTGTGAGCATCAGATGAGATGTCAGGAAAGCGTGTGAGCTGCGGCTGGCTTACATACGTAAGACAGCGTCATTTCCACTTTCTTAGAGTTGAGGAAATGCGATTGTGTTCTAGTGTAACAGAACCACCCAGGGGCAGAATGGAGGCTAAAGGTCAGGCCAGCAGATTCTCAGGGATATGAACTCTTGAAGAGGAAGGCTGTGATTGGGTGGATGAGTGCATCCATTTCTCTTGCTCCTTCCCATTGGCTCCCATCCACCCCACCGCCTCCCATTCTCTCACCTGCGCTCTCCTTGCCTCAGACCCCCTCACTAGTTTTTGCTGTGTTGGCTGACTCCTCAGGACTTCCTGAGAGTTTCCTGTAGTCGCTGCCTGCCCTTCCCAACCTTCCCCTCTCCTGCCCATTTCAAGTGGTCTGCAGTCTGCAGTCTGCATCACTTGATGGCAGTCAAGGTCACCGATGACCACTCTGTGGCCAGATCCTCTCAGCAGTGTCTGTCCAAGGCGACTCCTCCCTCGAAACATTTCTTGCCACTCTGGGACTCTGTACTCTCCTCACTCTAGAATGAATGCCCATGGACTTGGCAGTTGATGCTGCACTCTTTTTCTTTTGCGGAGCTGGGGATCGAACTCAGGACCTTGCACTTGCCAGGCAGGCACTGGCACCACTGAGCTAAACCTCTGGCCCAATGCTGGACTCTTTTTTGCCCATTCTTCTATAGGAGTTCTCAGTTAATCCCATGGGCATGGTTATTTTTGTTTTAATTTTTAGTTTTCACATACAAGAGAAAACGTAATACTTGTCTGCTGCTGTTTTTTTTTTTTCTTTCCTGCAAATGACAACTTCATTCTTTTTCATGGCTAAATAATACGCCATTGTGTGATATGTTTATCCATTCATTTGTGGATGGGGACCCAGGCTGATTCCATGTTGTGGCTATTGTGAATAGTGCCACAATAAACACAGGCATGCAGGTGTCTCTTTTGTATGCTGATTTGATTTCCTTCACATACACACCCACAGGTATTTCCTTTAGATAGCTGGATCATATGGTAGTTCTCCTTTTAGCTTTTCTGAGGAATCTCCACATTGTTTTCCATAGTGGCAGTACTAACTTAGGCAGTGTATAGTATAGTGTTCCTTTTCCTCTACATCCTTACCAGTATTTATTTTTTGATAATAGCCATTCTGACTCAGGTGAGGTGGAATCTCAGTATAGTTTGGATTTGCATTCCTTGACACCTAAAGATATCAAGCATTTTTCCAAATAATTATTGGGCATTTTAATCCTATGGTTTTTTGGTAACACATCAGTGCTACTAACCCCCTATTTTTTAATCTCCAGCCTGCCCTCATCTGTGAGCTCCAGGCTCCTGTGGATAACAGCTCCCCTGATAGCTCCATGCGGCTGTCTGAAAGGTAGTTCCCACTTCCCATGTCTAAAACAGAACTTGATCTGTGATGAATTTCTCTCTCCCAGTCAACCATCCGCTCAATTTCTCAGATGGCCCAAAACAAGAAACCCTTCTTTGTTCCTCTTTTCCTTCCCCTAGTCTCAACCACATCCTAAATCTGACCAGCAGACTCCTCCTGTCCTTCCCCTGCACCCCCACACTGCAGCCAGAGGGCAAACCAGAGCACAGTGCTCTCCTGTCTGGAGCCAGCCAGGGATCTGGCCCCTGCCTGCACCTCTGACCTCGCTTGCTTCCCTCCAGTCTCGCTGGCCTGGAGGTTCCCCAGGCACTTCAAGCTCATTCCTGAGTCCAGGCCCACACGGGTCTAATTTCCTCTCCCTGGAACACAGTGGCCCCAGACTCCTGCCTGCCTAGCAACCTCTTGACATTTAATTCTCAGTTCACTTGTCCTGTCTTCCAAGTGCTGGATTTGTGTCCTGTCTCCCTGCTTGACTTTTATTTTTTAAAGCCCTGAATATGGTCAGACCCCGTTGACGTATTTGGTGACTTGTTTATTACTTATCTTTCCCCCACTGTAATGTCTACTCCCTGGAGTGGGATGGTACTGTCCTTTTCACTGTGGAATCCCTGGCTCCAGGAACAGCCCTTACCCTGTAGCACTGCTGGATAAATAGTTGTGGAATGAGTGGATGGAGGAATGGAAGCCAATCAGACCTGTGTGGAAAGTACATGCAAAAAAGATCGGGAGTGGCTGCAGGAAGTAGAGCTGTTTTGTCCAGCACCAACCTTTCCTGAACTGGACACTAACTACTGACAATGCAGGCAGAGTGCAGTGGATCTGGTGGCTACCAGCCTGTCCTGGAGACTCAGGCAGTCCCTGCAGGAACTGGGGCCTGAGCTAGCACTGAGGGTAGGCAAGGAGGTGAGAAGGGCAACCCAAGATAGGGAAATGAACAAGTGCAAACACACAGGGATGAGACTATACAGGTGGTGCAGAAAGTTACCAGATTGCAAAGAGGGAGCAGAGGCTGATGGGTACGGTGGCCCAAGAGGCCTGTACACTGTGTTAAGGGCCTGGCCTGTCTCCTCTGGAGATGGGACCTTGGGAGTCTGAAGGCAGGGGTGTGACCTAGCCAGGTCTTCTTTTAGTGCCCTGTAAAGACTACATCTAAGAGTGGTTCATAAGTCCTGCATGTTAAAATCATCTGAGAACTTTTTTTTAAGTGCTGAACCCAGGATCCACCTAGACCAATTAAATCAGAATCTCTGGGGATAAGAACATTCAGGCACTGCTTTTTTTCTTTTTTTAAGTATTATTTATGGAAGCTAACATACACATAGAAACAAGAAATCACATATGAGCAGCTGATCATTTTGATAAAGCAAACATATTAACATCCAGACCAATAAACAGAATATTACCAATACTTGGAAGCCAGGCCCCAACTTCATCTAGTACTATCCATTCCCAGTAAAAGGGAACAACATGCTGATTTCTAACACTATATGATAAGCTGCTTGCCTTTGAATTTTGTATTTATTTGCATGTTACTGAAGTTTGCTTATTCTCATCACATAAGCTATTCCATCGTATTGCTGTTCCAACATTTTATTCATTCTACTCTTAGTGGGCATTTTGGGAGTTTCTAGTTTGGGACTGTTATGAGCAATGCTGCTATGAAACTTCTTGCATGTATCTTCTGGTGGAAACATGTATATACCTTTCTGTCAGGGATATATCCCGGAGTGAAACTGTTGGGTCTCAGGAATACAGATGCTCAGTATTATTAGCTATGCCAAAGAGCTTTCAGGTGGTTTGGGGCCCGCTGCTTCTGGAAGTCCCTAGATGATTCTAATATGCAGCCAGAGCACAGAGTTGCTGTTCTAAGGGCTATAAGTCTGGAGAGAGGGGTGACAATTAGGAGATGTAACTATTAGCTGGAGTAGGATTTCTAGAGCAGAGAGCATGCATCAGTGGAGGAATGAGCCTCAGAAAAAGGAGAAAGTCTTTATCTTAAAAACATCTCCTGGCGTTGCTGGTACTTCTGGCTTTGCCTTTGCAAAGGTCTCTGGAGAAGGAGGTGTGAGCTATTAAGAGAGGAGGAGTAAGAGATGAAATAGTTTGAAGTGCATTCGTTGCCCCCTGGGAACATCCACCAAAGCCTGCAGACGCTATGTCATAGGACTCAGTGGTGAGACATGAATTCACTGGCTAGGTATGTGTTTATCAGGTTGGGAGCAGAGGGGAGGTTGATGTTGTGGCCAGGACACTAGGGAAAGATGTGGACAACCTGGACTCTCATGCCTGCTGTAGCACTAACCAGCTGTGTGGTGCTGGGCACACTACTTCACATCTGTATTTTAATCACAAAATGCTCTGGCTAGACGACCTCTCAGGCTGTCAGAGCTGGAATCCATCCATCTGTTATTTATCTGATGTCACTGTACACTGTAGGGGAGAAATTCCAGTAAGAAGATGGAGAAAGTTGGCACAATGCTATATAGCTTTGTGTCTGAGATGGTTTGGGATGAAAACATTGGACTCTGTAATTATTTCCCCAAATTATATAGCACGGGATAAGAAACTCTTGGATGATTTTAGTTTTGTTTTACTTTGTTTTTGTTATTTTTAAGTGTGGGGTAAAGCTGAGACAATGTCTGGGCAGTCTTGTCGCCAACAGGGCTCCATGGTAGTGTCCACCTTTTCTTTTCATATCGGAAGCTCTCCTTCCTATCTCTATGAAATAAAAGCCTCTCAGCTGGCTGAATGGGAAGAACTGCTAAGCTGCTTGGAAAGAGATGGCCAGAACTACACTGTTAAGTCACACGGGTGTGTGTGTGCACAAGCCATGGACTCTGTCATGGTTGAGTCATCATTGTGGCCATTGAGTCTCAGGAGACGCTTGGAGGGTCCCAACTTTAAGCAGGCTTAGAAGGTAGGAAGCAGGCTTTCCAGGTAGGAAGGCTGGAAAATCTGGAAGGAAAGCCCAAGGTCTTAGCTGTCCTGGCTCTTCTTGGAATCTATCGATTCCTCTGAGGTCTTGGGGTGAAATGGGACAGAAAATGGATTCCTACGCTCTGGGAGGATTTGACTGGTTGACTCTACTGGGTATTGAACCCAGGGCCTTTGCACTGAGCTATATCTCCAACCCTCTTACATTCTTAAATTTTGAGACAGGGTCTTGTTAAGTTGCCCAGGTGGGACTTGAACTTGCAGTCTTCCTGCCTCAGTCTCCCAGAGTGCTGAGATTACAAGCATGGCTCACCACACCCAGCTTTTGGGGTGATTTTAAAAGGAATGAAGACATGTGATTTAGCCACTGAAGGACAACGTGACTTCAAAACAAACTATAAAAGAAACCTAACTGATCTTAGAAATTATATTGTGCAAACTAATTTTTAAAAATACTGTGGGGATATTTTGGTGGCAATTCAGAGTTCTGGGTGAAAGAGGATGATGGAAATTTTTACAAGTGGGCAGAGAGATAATATCAACAGAAGGAAAACCCCAGGACAACACCAGTAGAGGAAAGCTGAGTTTGCATTTATATAGGCCAAAGATAAAACCTGCTCCCATGCTGCTCTGAGAAGAGGTTGCTAGGGAGGAGGAGGTGGTGTAGCTAAGGAGAAAGTCAACATTTGTGAGTCAGCTGAGGAAGATACTGGACATATTGGATGACCTGACAGGTGTGGGACTATTTGCACAGCGGTGGTTGGCAGAAACACCACAAGCTTAAAACTGCAATAGAAGGAGCAGAAGTGTAGACTGTGTAGTCACCATGGAACAAATAGGGGGACACACAGGTCAGGGCGAGGATTGGGTTACATGGTTACATGCTGAGCCTAGATCAAAGGAAGCTACCGGATTGGGAAGGAGTCTCATTTGGTCTGAGCAAGAGGATACACGTATTGGGGGACTAGCCAAGTACTGCAAACACAGCTGACCATTCGGCAGCCAGTGGCAGAGGAGCGGACAAGGCCAGGTGTCCTTGTGGACCCGGGGTTGTGTGCTCTTTTCGTAAGGTCCCCTCCCCTCGTGGGAAAGGACGGAATGAGTTTCAGCCTGGGAGACTGAGCTGTGTGAATCTTTCCTTTTTTCTGTCTAAAGAAATAATAGCTGGGAGTGTGTTGAGACCAGAGTGTTGGAAGGCTAATAGGGCTGATATGTGTTGAAAGCTAATTACTGTGCTGGCTGCAGTGTACACTTGATCTCAACTAATTTTCTGTATCATTTTCGCTGTTCCATGGATGTTAATAGAGACAGCCAGAGAGATCACTTGCCTGAGGTCACAGTGAGGGGGAGGAAACTAGAATTTTTAGTGTATCTGAGTGCGGAGTTATCCTTTTGCGGTGCCTGGGCATTGCTAAGAGTTGCATACACACGTGTTTTGAAAACAATACCTCAGGACAAATAAAGTGTGCCACCAGTTTTGAGCTTTGGGAAGAAAGGAGCCATGTTAGTACGTTTGTCACCGTGGGAGTCAATAGCTTCGTGTTGTCCTGGACATGAGCCCGCCAGGCCCTGAGCCACTCACCATGTTGTTCCAGAGCGCGATGGCCATCTCCGCGTGCCCGCGTTCCGAGAAGTGGAGACAGTCTTCAGACCAGAAGGTGAGGCTGCTGCTCCCGAGCTGTGATCAGAGACAGGGAGGTTGCAGTCCTGACAGCACTCCCCTCCCGCTCCCCCGGAAGGTGCCCCAGGCATTGCTCTGTCTGTCCTTTCAACTCGGCTGCCAACTGGTGGGCAACCACATTTTGGAACTTAAAAAAAAAGACACGAACTGTAGCTACCCACAGACCATCCCCTTTCCTGCCCTGCAAGTTGGAAAACAATGATGCTAATGTCATGAAGCTTCCCCCTTCCATCCTAGTCCAGTGAATGTAAGAGTGGCTTTGGTCACTACTGATTCTCTTTCTTTCCAAGTCTGTCTTCATTCTAATCATCATCAAAAGGCAGAAAAAGCAATGCTTGGGAGCCCAAATATGGTGATAAACAAAAAGCCCACCTGGATGAAGCAAATGCACCCATCACCCAAGCAGCGGCTCCACATGGCCTCCCAGCCAGGCCTGCAGCTCACCTCATTCAGTGGGATGAAGGTGTTCTGGAAGAAAGGCTGCACCACAACTGCAAAGTCCTCACGCTGCATGTACTTCTGCTGGTAGGACAACCTGGAGATGCCACTCCGGGATAGGCTGCTTAGGACTGGACAGGGAGGGTCTATTCCTGCTGCCTGGGTTTGCTTGTGACTGCTGTCAACCCACCCTAGACAAAGGGCTTTAAGGAGCTACGCTGGTGTGACCCACATTCACATCCCTCCTGCATCCTTTACTGAGCACCTGTATCCCAAAGCCTCTGCTAGCTGTCAGGGTCAGAGTTGAACCCAAAGGCCCTGGTTAGAGGAGCCCCATGTGCATGGCTCCAGCCCTTCCATTCCAAGGCCCAGCCGGCACTCACTGCATACAGAGGCCTGTTAGACCCAGCTCAAATGGGGAGCATCTCAGCACCAGCCCCCCAGAATGTCCATGCCCTTTGGTTGTTGGATTTGTTTAGTGCCAGAGTGTGGAATGTAAATGGCATAGGCTAGATGTACTTATCCTGAAGGAGCTTGACATCCATCTGGGAAAAGGAGACAAGATGTAAAACCCTAAGAACCATAGAGGGCTCTGGGGTCCATCAACTGCACACTGAGCTTGATTTGGGGATAAGCTTTAGAGCAGGAAGAAGGCTTGCTCCTGAATGGAGATGGATCATCCCCAGAGAAGGCAGACGAGGAGCAGAGGTACACATGAGCAGGAGGGTGTCGGGGAAGGAGGGGGAGGTAAAAGTAAGGCCTTTTGTTTTTAAGGAGGGGAGGTGAAAGGAAGCGAAGAGGTAGGAGGCAGGTGCAGTGGCTGCCATCCCTCCTCCCCTGGGTAGAGGCATGGCCCAAATTACATAGCGTCCACTCTGGGGCCCAGTGCTGTGTCCACTCAGGGCGGACCACTCCCAGCTTCCACGTTGGGGTCTCTCCCTGCACCCTTTCCTGGCTTGCTGTTCAATTACCCTGGACAGATGTTTTGAGGGCTGCTGTCTCTTAGGGAGTGGTTGTCTATCAATGAAGCCCTGCTGGACACACAAGTGCTGAGTCCTTGCTTGGGGAGTCCATGAGGGTGCTCCTAATGGATGGCGGGGCTCACCTGGAGGTTCCAGTTCACTTTCTTCAGCTCTTGCATCACTGGGGAGTCTGGAAAGTGTCTGAGGCAGCTACAGTTTCTCCTGGAAGATAAGAACTCTGGTGGTGAGGCTCCCTGGGGCAGCCTGGCTCTGTCCTTCTGGGAGGCTGACTGACCCAGGGCCCCCAAGTAGCCTCCCAACATACACTTGCTGATGCTTGGACCCCGAAGGTCACAGAGCTGTGCTTGCTGGAGCTGGCACCTGACTTCGATCTCCTCCTGCACAGCTGCCCATTCCCTTTCTCCTTCCCATGCCTGTGCCCCCTGGGTTTCTGTAGGTGGGAGGAGCTGGGCTTTGGGGAAGACCACCATCTCTTTTGGTACAGAATCACTCTTCATCCTCCTCAGCCTCTGAGTGCTTATGAATCTCCCTCAGGGCTCCTGCAGGGGGACTCTGTTGGGATGCCAAGGAGAACCAACGAGCTTGACAGGGCCCTGATAAGGTGGAACACGATAGCAGCAGATTCTGAAGAGACATTCCACCTGGGGGTTCCAACAGATGCGTGAAGCAGCTGGCCACCTTCACATCCCAGCCATTTGACTTCAAATAGGACTGCTCAGCCACCTGCAGAATCTCCCTCCCCATAGCAACAGCCACACAAACCCTGGAGCTCCTCTGGCCTCAGAAGATAGCATCTTCCTGGTAGCATCCCACTGGCCTTCCAAGAATTCTAGCCCTGGACAGGAACTCTTGCCCTGCCTCCAGGCCCAGCTTTCAAGGATGAAATAAAACCTGCTATTTCCTGAGAGCCTGCAGCAAGTATTTCCTCTCAACATCATATCTACCTTACAAGGAAGGTGTCATCCCTATTTATAGGGGAGGCTTAAAACACTTACTGGGGGCTGTTCAAAGTCCCATAACTTTTCAATGGCAGAACTAGGACTTGAGGACAGATGGAACTGTCCCCAATGCTCATTGTCCTATGCTGCCTTTCAGCAGAGAGAGACTCACCAAGGTTGGACTTTGGAATCACAGAAATGGTGAGGAGCATTCAGGATCATTTGGTCTGTTTCACTTTACAGAAAAGCATATTGGGGTCCAGAGAAATGAAGGGACTCGCAGACAGTAGGCGTTCATTAATGCAGAGGCATCTACTCAATGATTTCTTAAGCCGCTGGTGAATTACTTCCATCCACCCTCTGAATAGCCCCACCTGGCTCTGCCTGGACCTCTCTCCGGTGGTGCCCATGGGTCCCACCCTCGCCTGGGACCACGACTTGCTCACTTACTGAGCCGCCAGCAGCACAGCACACTGCCCGCCTTGGCCCTGGTGCAGGCCGGCCAGCTCCATGACCTCCACCACATTGATGAAAGCCCTGGGAAGCTGCAGGAACAGAGGTGGGGTTCATGAGGCCCAGGGCAGCTGTGGGGAGAGGGCACTGGCTGCTGCCGGAGGAGCCTAGGGATTCACTGTGTGTGTGTGGTGCTGGGGACTGAACCCAGGGCTTTGTACTTGCTAGGCAAGCACTTTACCACCCAGCTACATCCTCAGCCCATGGAGGATCATCTTTAATCCAACTTCACCCCCTTCAGTTTTACTCTGAGGCCCTGAGCATAGATGTGATGTTTGATCTCACTGATTCTTCTTTAACGCCCCACTTTGTCATTTGGGAAGCTGAGATGGAGACACACCATGGCTAGTAAGCCACAGGACTTCGCTGCAAACCTGGTGACTCCAGGGATGAGCTCTGCTACTGTGAAACCTAGGCTTGGAGCCAGTTAGAATGGCCTCTGCAGAGGGGCTGGGGGCTGCCACCCTCCCTCCCCCCGGGGGCCCACGCGTGGTGGGCCTCTGCTGTGCGCGTCTCATTGAACACAATGTGCCTGATGCCCCCAGGGGTGGACCCTTCCCCCATACAGGCGGGCTGTTACTTCTTCCTACCTCCTCATAGAGGATGTCCAGGGCCTGCTGGATGTGCTGGACATACTCTTCGGCTGAGTGGTCCGCCTGTGAAGGAAAGAGGGGGCTCTCTTCAGCCCCGGGGTTCCAAAAGCACAGCCTTGGGGGCTTGGGAGGAGGGGCGAACAGAGGGAGTTGGGTGGTCCTGGCCAGTCCTCGTTGCAGGTTGACCAGAGTCCCCCATTAGCAGTCTTCCCATGACCCCTACTAGACACGATCACCCTGCCCTTACCCACATGATCTCAAACCCAATTGCAGAGTCTTTACAGTGCTGGACCAGGCTCATCTGTCACCTGAACTTAGCCTTCTCTAGCCACTCACAGGGCCCCTGATGACCACATTCTTTTTTCTCCAGGCTTTGGGCCATGCTGGTCCCACTGCCTGGAATCCTTTGCGCTCTCGAATCCTCCTTACTTCTGTGTCTTGTAACTTGGCCAAGAGTGTTTCTCCTCTGATCCATCTCCCCAACCTGAGGCTGACCAGAGGGGCCCCAATGCACCCTGGGTGATGTGATGGGGTACAGGGTAGGTGCTCAGTAAGTGCTTCCTGATGATTCTCAGGGCTTTGCTTTATAGTTCGAGGAAGTTAGTCATATTTTTGGATATGGGTGGGCTCCTTAAAACGTGTCAAGGAGACTGATCCCAGAGGGTGGGTGATGCCTGAAGTTCTCACACCAAACATAGAAGGATGCATGTCTGCAGGAGGGAGGCTCCGGGAAGCTGCACCAGACACTAGGGCAGGAGGCAAAGAGCTGCAGGTGCTTTGTGCTCAATTCTGGCTCACTGCTGGACACGAAAAGGGCCCTGCAGATACCTGATCATGGGTGAGCTCCTGCCTACAGCAACCAGAAAGGGTGCTGAGATTCAGGGTGGGAGTGGACACAAGATGACAGTCATGCCCAAGAGTTAGGAGCATGAGCTGAGGGACCCGTGTCTCCAAGAGCCTGCCCTTCCCTCCTTCCTCAGACTTGGCCTGAGTGAGCTGCTGGTGCCTCTGGGTCCTTGTTACAAAAACATGCTCTCAGGACACACCTGCTGTTCGCATGGGTGACAGGTGTGCTAGGGCTGCAGGGGGCATTTCCCTCCACCACGTGTCCACAGGTAGCTCTGGACCCCATCTGGGTTTGAATTAACCTTGCAGTCCAGGACACAGTAATATCTAAATTCCTGAGAGTTGGATCCCTGCTACCTCTCAAGTCTGGGCAGCAAGAGAGAGGATCCAGGGGAAGAGGCTCAGAAGAGCTCTGTGTGTGTGTGTGTGTGTAACACAAGGAGCCATAAATGCCTCCTCCCCCAGCCTGTGACTGTCAAACATTCTACCACAACCTGAGTCAGGGCACCTGCCTTTTTTTGGCCAAATAAAATACAGGATGTCCCCACGTTGGAACAAGATGTATTCCAAAAAGTTAGAGCTCTAAGAAGCTTTTAAGTCTGGACATGTTTCCCCTAGAAACACTAGGAGCGGGGCTGGGTTCCCAGGCTGGCCAGCTGAGGCTGGTTAACTCACGAGTGCCCTGAAGGACTGTGAGCCACACTGTAGGGATGGGTTCCGCTTTATCCAGCCCCATTTATGAGGGTGTTTTGCCTCACTGCCTCCCGCCTCCCACCACCAAAACAGGGCAGGGCCTTTCAGACAGGCATAGAGGAGACTCACTGGTCACCTGTCTGGATACCAGGGACCAGTATGTGTGTGTTGAGGAAGGGCCACTTCCTCAGCCGTGCTGGGAGACTAGGTGGGTCTAAGTGCCCTCAGGCATAGTCCAGCCTTGGCTGCTGTGCATGAACCAGGGGCCGTCGGGGCAGACTCCCAGGCAGGTGGGACTCCCGTGGAGGAGGAACGTGAGACAGGGTCAGGAGCCAGGGCAAGGAGGACGACAGAAGTCCCCGACTTTGTTCTCGGGTCCCCAGTGGACTCGGGCAGGGGCCTACCGGATTCTCGCAGTATTGACACAAGTCGTTGCTGCCAATGAAGAGTGTGACCAGCTTCCAGTCTGTCTCCAGGTTGATCTCCTGAGGGGAAAGACCCTGAGTTTGGTCCTGGGGCGGGGGTATGCATGTGCAGGGGGCACTCAGCAGGCTACCCAGCCGCTCCCAGGCACCTTTCATCCGCTTTGCATCATGGGAGAGAAGGTGAAAGTGAGGTCTCCCTACCCTCCTGTGCCTGGGAGGTGGAAGCTTCTCAGAGAAGCAGGGTGCTTTCCCTTTGCAATGCATTTCCCTGAGCCCGTTATGGGCCAAGAGGATTAGCAGCCTCTGAAATGGGATCTAAGGCCTTCAAAGGAGCCGACAGAAAAGGTGCAGCTAGAAGCCAGAGCTCAGTGACGACTCTGAGATGTATTCTCCAGGGCTTGCTCAGGGGAGGGAGAGGTGGAAAAGAGGGCAGCAGGGACCTGGAGGCAGAGGTGGGATCGGGGCAGGGGAGTCCGGGCGGGCCCTCTAGCAATGGTTTCCCACTCAGCCACCACCATAATAGGAGTCCTGCCAGGAGCTCCACTCCAAGGCATAAACACAGAGTATCTTAAAAAGTTTGTGAGCAAGAAGTTTCAGAGGCTGGGTGAGCGGGAAGAAGCGAGGCTTGGAACGAGCAGCCTATTTTTAGCACCTTGTGTTTATATAATAGGGCTCTGGGAAGCTGGCTCGGGTAAAGGGGAGAAGCTGCTAGAGGCCAAGGATTTAGAAGAAGGAGGGCTGTCCCAGGGCCCTGCCACCTCCCCAGCCGAGGATCTGGCACCTTGGTGGGTGGCCCGGGTCAGTACTCACAGTGCTGGTTTTCATTCGCTCTATCAGGTCTCGGGCCTGGGCCGGCATGTCCCTGGTCAGGGGAAGAAAAGGGGACCGAGTCACTCAGGAGGGCTCCAGCTGCGGAAGAGTGGTGCTTCAGGATGAGTAATGTTCTACAAAGGTTATTTCCCAGCAAGTACGGATGGGCTGTCCACTCTCCAGAGTCCCAGCCTTGTCCCAATTAGAGCTGTCACGGACCGTGGGGACACACTCACCCAGACCCCGACACCCGATACCTGGATCCAGGGCCAGGCCTCGTTGGCCGTTTGGGTGGGGATTGGTCAACCTTCCTATCAGGGATTTTCTCTGCTACATCCTCAGGCTTTATCGCTGCAAGCTAAGCCTGTACCTTTTTTATTTAGTTGCCTGTTTAAAAAAATAACCTTTGGCCATTCTTTTAAGATGATGGTTCACAGTGGGGCTGGGGATTTAGCTCAGTGGTGCTGCCGCCTCCCTCAAAAGTGCAAGGTCCCAGAGTTCGATCCCCAGTACCAAAACAAAACAAAGATTATTGTACACAGTGTATTAACTATTCTGTTCTAATTATTTTGTCGTGAAACTTTGGGTTTTTTTATGGAAGAGTATTTAAAAATATTTATTAATATTAAGAGTATTTTAAAATACTTATTAACATCCACATGAAACAATAAAATTTAAAAAAGAAAAATCAACCTTTTGTATTTGACCTTTTTTTTTTTAATACTGGGGATCGAACTCGGGACCTGTGCTTGCAAGGCAGGTGGCAGAACCACTGAGCTAAATCCCTGGCCCCTGTATTTAACTTTTTAAAACTTTAACGACTGTTTCTCCTTGTTGTAGTTTCTTACACTATTCCCTAGCTCCTCACTTTGTTTTCGTGTTTTTGCCCCTGAAACAAAACAGGATTAGTTCTTCCTTTGTCCCCTAGATGTCTGCATAGATAAAACATTGCTATTTAGTGTTCTGGATAAGATATGTATGCCAATGAAATACTATTCTGCAATAAAAAGGTGATGAACTATTGCCATACTCAACAATATGGATGAATCATAATGTCTCAGAATAATTTTGCTAGATGAAATAAGTCAGATTCCCCCCACCACCAAGAGCACATATTCTTTGATTTCATTTATATAAAATTCCAGAAAATTCAAACTAACCTATAATAACAGCAGGTTAGTAGTTGCTCAGGGCTTGGGGAGGGGTAGAGACAGGGATAGGAAGGAGAGATTACAAAGAGGAAATTACAAGGAAACTGCTGCGGGTGATGGACATGTTTATTATTGTGACAATTTATTATACTTGACGGTGTCAAGTCTTATCAAATTGTATGCTTTTAATGTGTGCACTTTATTACAGTCAATTATATCCCAATAAAGCTTTTTCTTAAAAAAGATATGGATATGGGCAGCGAAGTCAGCAATGGGCACACAATTAGTGGACTCTTCCACTGAAGAAGCCATGACGGAAGTAACTGGTACAGGATGGCCATTTAAAACCTTTGTGTAAGCTGGGTATTGATCGAGCCCCGTTCCTGCCTTATGTCTTCCTAAGGAGAATGTGTGCATCTGGGATTGTATTATGTATGCTACTGCTACTGATGGGTACCTCAGACAGCTACAAGGCAAGCCTGTCCTGGGCAAAGATGCTCACAGAAGTACCTACTATAACCTTTTAATAGGTTCAAGGCACGACTAAAGGAACTCACGGGCGATAGACAAGCCCTCAAGGGCAGTGGGGAAATGAGGAATGTCTACTTCCACCCTCTTTCCAGCCAACTTCCCGTCCTTCAGACCAAGTTCTGCAAAACCATGAGCCTTTGTCCTGGGCTCACTCAGCTCTAGCTCCTCCATTTCCTTGTTCATTCCAGGGCTCAGGGCTTCCTGCAGCTCTGCCATGTGAGCTGACATGGGGTGCTGAATCCCGCCTGCTGGGGTGACTCCTTTCACCTTGTAGAGAAGGAGGTTGCGATCGCTGACTTCAGGAGTCCTGGGTGATTTTCATTCACTCCAGCAGGTCCTGGACTGGGGGACATCTGTATTGAGACTGCCCAGTTTTGTTCTCCTAACTGTACTCTCTGACTCAGTATCAATTTATTTCAGTCTCCAGTGTTGCCATATACAACACTAACTTTGCCCAGTTTTTCCTGTTTGCTTAGTGTCCTTAACTAGATCGCAAGGTCTTTGTAAACAAGTTCATGTTTAGATTCTTTTGTATCTCTTAGTAACTACCTAGGCACTCAGTCCTTTGCAGATGTTGATTCTTGCTTACTGTTTGATGGAAGGGACATTAGCTACTGAATAAACCTTGAAATTAAATTCAACCTTATTCACACTGAGAAACGAGAGTGGAGCCAAAGGAAAGTCACAGGGCAATTCTCTCACCTTACTCACGTAGGTCAGTGGCTTATTTTTGTTTCCCCTAACACTGGACATCAGAGATGGCCGCAGATCTCGGCTACCTCCTCTGCCCCTGCCTTGATCTGGGGCAGGGTCTGAGCAGCAGTAGAACAGATAAGGCAGTGAGAGAAGAGAACTGAGAAAGGAACATGAATCCCAACAGACTGAGAAATCAAGCCCTGCTTACTGAAGCCTGGGCTGAATAATAACAACAATTACAACAGTAATTAGATGTGATTATATTGGCCCCACAAAGCCCAACTTTTTTACAGAAATATAAGTCCTTCCTGCTGATGTGGAGGAACTGACATGGCTTCCTGTGGCTCAGAGACTGAAACAGAGCTTGAGGCCCGCTTGTGGCTTTGCAAAGGAATGTTCCCTGTAAACAAAGTGAGTCAAGCCACTGTCGTTTCCCTGGTGACCTGAGCATAGCGGAACTCCTACAAAGCAAATAACCCAGTGCGCTCCATGCAGAAAAATCAATGATCCTGCTCAGGCATTTCAGTTTTAATTATCTGCGCTGTTGTCAACAATAGAGATCTCAGTGAAAACAAACAGCCGCCCTGCTATTTGGGGGTCCTAACACCTAACTCCCTACTGTCAGAGGACAGCCTTTTGCAGTCAAAGACTTGAGGTTCTGAGGCAAGGTAGGGAGGAGAGGAAGGCAGACAGCTGCAGGACACACGGAGTCTTTCACGGTGCTGAGAGCTGCCCTGCATGTGTGACTGGATGCCTCTGAGGGACAGGAGGTGGCACCAGCAGGGACAGTGCCTGGGGCAGGGAGATGGGTTACTCCTGCTGCCTTGGAGAGGCAGTAACACCATGGTGGTTAGGGCTGCATTCGGGCACAGTCACACCCCGGTTTGTCTGATAACTCGCAAGGAACTCAGCTGAACCTCAGTGTCCTCCTCATAGTGTCCATGTCCAGAGGTGTAGGAATTAAGCGAGGTAATCCACATGGAGGGTTTGAGCAGGGCTAGCATACAGAAATGCTCGGCACACAGCTCTCATGACCCATCTGGGACAAGTCCTCCTCACCGCCTCCTGCTTCCCACCTGGATCTCTCCCACCCACACTCTCCCATGTACACAGGGTACTCACCGAGCTCTGGCCCCTTCCACTGCTACGTTGAATCCCTTTGTCTCCTCCCAGGTACCGGTGGAGAATCCAAAGATGGAAGGGTTGAACTTCTTTAGAATGTCTTTAGAGGGGACAAGACAGAGAGCGCAGGTGAGGAGACAGGAGCCCCGAGAACTCAGCTGGGCTACAGTCTTCGGGCACAGGTGTGGGGCAGGAGGGCTCTGGTCTTTCTGGGACTGACTGATTTCCCTCTCTGCAGATAGCCTGCTCTTCCCTTCCCCCAGGCAGAGGCCCCGGCCTCAGTGAGGGTGGTGGTGACCACAGTGACAGTACTTGGTGCTGGCTACTTACTGGGCAGTGTGGTGTGAGTCTCCAAGGCCCCGTCTCCTCCAATGCTGGGAAGAGCAAATGTCTTTGTTAAAATCACCCTGGCCTGCTGCTCTGTGTGTGGTCACACTAGAGTTTCTGCTCCTGGATCACCACTCCCATCACCCTCAGGGCTCTACAAACATCACAGACTTCTTGGGTCTTGGAGCTGGGCTGTAGGGACCCCACTTCATCCCTGGAGGCTGGAGCATTGTCAACAGAGAAGGAGCTGAGAACATCCTTACCTCCAGGAGAGCCCCCTCCAGGGTATGTACAGGTTACTGGAGTTGCTTGGTCGAGCTCCCATGGCTGTCTGTAAAAAGCAAGGAGAAGCTTCCGGGCTGCTCCTGGGTCAGGATGCACGGCTGGCACAGGGCCTGGATTTGCCTTTTCTGAAAATGGCACCAGTTCTTCTCCAGGCCACCCTAAGCTCTGGGTTGTCACATTCTTCTCCCCAGCCCTCTACCAACAACCAGCAACCAGGTTGGATCGATTCTTTATCCCCAGTCTGCTGTCTTTTTCTTTTGCTCTTTTTGCCATGATCCTGGGTGAGACTCTGGTCTCCCTGCCATGGAAAATACTCTGCTTCCTTCCTGACCACATGGTCTTGTGTCTCTGTTCAGCTCCCAACAACAGGGCTGCCACCTGCTCCTCTGAACACATCTCTCTGTGCACTCTCTGGCCCTTCGATATGTTTCCTTTACCTTGAGGGTCAAGGCCAGATCCCATCACCAATGTGGACACCATAATCTGATGTCTACTTTCCTTCCCCTCATTTACTCCTTCCATCCCTGTCGCACAGAACTTTCAGGTCTAGGCACAGTGATCTGTCTCTGTCCCAAGCACGAGGGCCTCAAGATGCTCCGCCCCAATCCCCATGCACTCCATTCTTCCCAGGATGCTGAGCGCTCTCCTTTCCAGCCCCTGATACCCCTAATTCATTCACTAAGATGCTCCTCAGTCCCCACTTCCTCTATAAAGCTTTCTTTGTATGCTTTGTCTTAAAATTCTTCTTTGAAATTTACAGAAGTATCACACGTTCAATAACCAGTGAAACAATACAAAGAATTTTTTAAAAAATGAATAATCTACTCCCACCTTACGAATCGCATTGCAGAATCCACATCCCCATCCCCATACACCACTAGGGTGGAATCATGGTTATAAGCCTGCTGTGCTCTCTTCCATAGATTTCTCATTTTCATAACAAAATGAAAGCACCTCCACATATGTGGGGGTGGCTTGGCTTCCTCAGAAATGAATAATGTATTCAGAAAGTCCTGTAATGCCACCCAAGTAATCACACATCCTTCTGAACACATTTCTTTTGTCTGGGCCGGATAGGTTTTTGGAGGGTTTTGACTGCTGCATCCTTTTTTTTTTTTCCTGCAGAATTGCTGATGGCGCACCAGGCACACAGCAATAGCTAAACAGTAGGCTAAAGCAATCCATTTAGCAGGACAGAGCTATGGGCCAGGAATTGGGCTCCTGATGCTTCATGGGTTGGGGGCACTGGGCAAAGGATGGGTGAGACTCTGTGGCTGGGTGGGTGGAGATGACTCCCTGATAAAGGCAGGCAACTTGAACAAATCCCACAACACATGGATGAAATGCCGAGGAAATTGCTTCTCCCCAAGGTGGAGGGGCCCTCATGGAGGGTGGAGGGGCAGGCACATGCTTTGGTGCTTGACGCAGGCCAGCCAGCCCTCAGTATGGGGCTCAACACCAAGGGCAGAGCCAATGCTGAGAGGAGCTGGCTCTGCATAGGCCTGGCTGGCTCCAAACACCTCCTTCCCCTGGGCCCGTGGCTTGGTACTCACAGTCAGCGAGTCACCCAGGGCTGCAACCACTTTGATGTCTGCTGGTCGGAGCTCATGGACTACAGGAGACAGGCAAGAGGAGAGGTGGTCGGGGTTGGGGGATCTGCCAATCAAAGTATGAACTTCACCAGGGCCTACAACTCTACTCCAGTCCCACAGGTCCCATGGCTCTTATTTCCAGCCTAGGCTTTAGCAGTTTTACCCCTTCCACTTATTCAGAACAACCAAGCCACTGAAGGTCACAGGCTTGATGGAGCTCAGCCTTCCTGAGAGAAGCCAAGAAAGTTTCAGCTGCAGGGTCATACAGCCTAGGCAGCTAGGGCCCCAACTCCTGAGTGCACCTACTTCACTGGGCAGGGAAGCCTGAGGGGCTGCCACTGGGACTAGAAGGAGACCAGAAGTGTGATTTGGAGAAGAGGCCCATGGTTCTCCTCGTGGGACCCCAGTAGTGGCCAGGGGCCAGCTCCTTGGGGCCTGGGCATCAGCAAGGCCTGCTGGAAGCTCCAGGATGGGTCTGAAGGGCCCCCAAGACCTGATGCTTTGCGAGGCCCTTTGGTGAGGAGGCGGTGCTGTTTTCACTCACCTGAGGTGGGTACACTATTGGAAGGATTCCATTCTGTGCATGAGAAGTCACTGCCCCAGTTCTAAATCAACAAGAGAAAAGCCACAAGGCCAACACTCATTGAGCAGAGAGTGTTGGCCCAAGAAGAGCCAGCTAAGGGGGGGGGGGTGTGGAGCCTAGAAATACATTGCTGCAGGGGCTCATGAGAGGGAAAGAGCTGTTTGTTGTAGGTGGGCTAAGAGGAAAATCGGAGGAGAGAAATGGGCGACTGCCTACTCCACACACTCACTCCCCACCTACACAGGTGCACACACACGCACATGCACACAACCCTTCCCATCCCGGCTCATCTCTGCTCTTGGGGCCAGCAGCTGCCCCCAAGCAGGGGGAGAAGCAGTGAATTGTTACCACATATGGTTTCCTGAAGGAGCACAGGATATGAGTGCCAAATACAGTGGACCCTTGACTTAGGAACTCAGGTTGTTCCCAAGGGCAGCTGTAACTCAGGTTGGTCAGTTGAAGGCTCAGGCTCCTCTACACAGCCTTCAGAGTCTCTCTCCTGTACACAGGCAGATCTCAGTGTCCTTAGAGAGACACTGGCCCAGGATTTCTCACTTAACCCCACACAGGAAAGGATGCTGTAATGCTCCTTCCAGAACTTGTTAAGGGTTAAGTCTGTATCTGAGACCATCTGGAAGCACAAACAGCCAGGCATTCAGGTAATAATTCAAGACTTATTTTGGTCGTAACCTAAGTTTTTTGTATGTTGGGCCAGTCGTAACCCAAGGGTCCACTGTATAAGAGATTATAGGCATGCCTTTGTGTTGTTAACATTAAGCCAATTTGCTCTAATTACAATGCTAGGAGCTATGCAATCATTAGTTAAAATATTTTTAGGAAAAGACAAAATTTTTACAAGTGCAAAAACCCTGGTTTCTGCATATCTTTTCTGTACGCCTCTGTATGTTTTCGCATATTTAAGAGCCAACAGTTCCTTGTATGTTTATAAATGAATCCCTGGAACCCTACATACTTTTGATCAACTTTCCCTGCCTGTAATTCAGGGCATACTTTCCAGGTGCTCAGGTATAGGGTAGGAGTGGGAAGCAAAGGGCACAGAAATGGCTAGTACCAGAAAGTTGGTGGAGACCTGCATCTGTATCCCCAAATCCCAAATATCTCTTGTTGTGTGCACAGAGGCCTCCCCCGACAGGCTGCTTCTCTAACACTGGGACTGCCAGAGGCTTTGGAAGCTCAGCTCACCTGTTCAGGCAAGTGATGGTGAAGATAAGCTTTGTGAAAATATCCCTATCTTCGGGGAGTGAAAATGAATCTTTAAATATTATTTGCTCATTCCAGTGGGATTTAGTGTATTCCAAGGGATTGCTCAACTCATCACACCAATAGATTTCTTCTTCTGTTTGAAAGTTTTACTGAAATGAAGACTAGGCTTGTGTGCAGATGACATACTCTGAGTAAATACACTTTAAAAAACTATATAGCCGGGCCGGGGATTTAGCTCAGTGGTTTCACCGCCTGCTGCGCAAGTGCAAGGACCCGAGTTTGATCCCCGGTACCAGAAAAAAAAAAAACCCAAAAAACTATATAGCCATCAGCACCTTAAAAATATCTCCAACTGGGCCAAGGATTTAGCTCAGTGGTTCCACCGCCTGCCTTGCAGGTACAAGGTCCCGAGTTCGATCCCCAGTACCAAAAAACATCTCCAATCACTGAGGAGCCAGAGACAAGCGTGCTCCATTTAGAGTAACAGACACAACCCGGAACGTGAGCAAGATCACCTGTCACAAGGGGTGATGGAGACCACCCAGAGCGGGCTGCAAATCCCTAAACCTGCTTCTCATACTGAAAGTCTGAGTTGGCCTGTTAGCCCGCAATGGCTGCCTGAAGAGCCAGCAGTTGGTGTGTGAGAAAGGAACAACTCCCCATGCCACTGCTCACAGCAGAGGTCTCAGTGATCCGTGACGCTGTGACGTCTTGGATGGCAAGACAATAGTGCAGCTAAGGGCAGCATGACTCGTACAGAAAACTTCTATAGAGGCAAAAAATCAATGCATGGGGAAAAAAATTTCCCATTAATCAATGAGCTGTTCCTACGAGAATGTCTTGTTCCCTTGTTGCTAGGAGCCTGCTGGTGTCAGTGCTCTCCACCTCACTGTGCCCTGCACCGCCCCTTTCCCCTCTAGAAGCCCCATGTTCAGTAATGAGTGGTGAGCCCCAGGAGACAGCATCTTAGCCTCATAAGAGCTTTGACCATCCTGGGCCCCCATTTATGCTTGAAGATCCCGTCTCGTCTCTTTTTAATCCTGCCACTGTACCCTTGGTGACTGAGGGTTTGTGCAGCCCCCAGTAAAGGGGAGAACCACATGCTGTGCCCTAAACCAGGACTTCCCAGTCCCCTGGGATCTTGTAACAGTACAGAGTCTGATTTGGCAGGACCAGGACAATACCCAGTACGCTCCATTTCTGACAAGTTCCCAGGTAAGAATGCTGTTGGCTGTCTGAGGCTACTTTAGCTATTTCTAAGCCTGGGATTTTTTTTTAAACTCTTCTAGCAGTGGAACCAAGGATACAAGAGAACAAAGATCCAAGAATTCAGGCCCAGACTCACTCTGCTTACCACTGTCTACCAATAATTAGGATAGCACCTGCTTTGCGCATGCACCCAGCAGATAAATGTGAAATAAATAAATGCTGATTGACGAGATGCAGTTGACATTTCAGTTAGGATAGGACTGGGTCACTGGGTTACACTAGGACAAGACTCCATTGGGCTAATGTGAGCTGAAGAGAATCCAACCCGAAGAGAGCCCAGCTCTCAGCCATGAGGCTGTTATGGCTAATACCCTGGAGTGCAGCAACTGTTCTTTAATAATTCCCTCTAGGTTGGTTTTAACTCTTAATTTGGCTTAGGAAAAGCTATTCCCTAAGCACCAACCTCCAATCCGTTCTCCACTTAGTCATCAGAGAGATTTCTTGAAGATGTGGACCAGGCCAGTTGTGGTGGTGCGTGCCTGCAATCCCAGCACCCTGGAAGGCTGAGGCAGGAGGATAGAAGGTTCAAGCCCAGCCTAGGCAACTAAGTGACTTAGCAGGTCCCTTTCTCAAAACTTTACAAAAGGCCTGGGGATGTAGCTCAAGACTCTGGGTTCCATCCTCAGTTTCACCATGAATGAATGAATGAATGAATGAATGAATGAATGAGTGAATGAGTGAGTGAAGTAAACCAGGTCAGAACCTTCTCGTAAAACCTCCAATGACTTCCCATCTGAACTCCGACCTTCTTGCTCCGGAATTCGAGCTCTGTGTGATCTGACCCTGACCGACCTTCTGATTCATTTCCTGTTACTTTCCATCCCTTTCGGTCCCCTCCTGCATCCACTCTGCCCTCCTTTCTCTTTCCCTCAAATCCACACAATTCAGCCCCCTTCTGAGGCTCTGTGATCTCTGGTCCTCCTGCTTAGGACTGGGTTTCTGGCTCTCCCCATCCCCAGCACTTTTCACCTTAAGCTAAGCGCAAATCGCCCCTCTTCAAAGAAGCACAGCCCACACGGTGTGTCTGAATTGTCCACCCTTCCCCTGGCCTATCACTCTCAGATCACCCGCCCCTGAGCTGTTGTTACTATGTGAGATGACTTTTTGGCTATTTACTGGATACCTTCCTCAGCAGATTATAAACTTCATGAGCACTGGGACCCATCGGTCAGGTAGACATCTCTAACTTCCTAAAATAGTGCCTGGCACATAGTAGAGCCTCAGTAAATGGTTGTGGCATCTCTATTGGGCTCTAAATGCCCCAGGTAAGGACAATGTCTGATCTCTCTCTCGTCCCCACCAGCACCTAGCATAAGGCTGGTGTGAAACTGGTTTGAAACCATGGGTGTGAAGCCGAAACGGGTGGTTGAGCTCCTGTCCTGGTGGCCCACAGACATGGTGTATACCAAGGCCATCCTGCAAGGGTTGGTGTGGTCCAGGATCCTGCAGGCCATCTTGGGAGTGACTGTCCCTAAAGCCCTGGACTCTGAATGCTCAGAGAGGAATGACTGACTTGAACCAAGAAGGCCTCTGGGTCTGTGCGGATGGATATGTGTCAGTTTCCTGTTGGGCGCAGCCCCTGGCTCTGAGACTCCCTCCCACTCAGCTTCCACCTTCCGGAAGCTGATGGCACCCCGTACCCACTGCCGCCTCCGCTTCTTCCTGAAGGGCTGAGCTGCCTCACCAGAAACAATGCCGGTGAGCCATAGGATTGCAAAGGTCAAAGGCAGCTTCCTCTGATTGGTCACTGACATCAGGTAGGCAACTTGGGAACAAGTTAGGGCAGTGCTGCCTCACAGTTCAGGAGCGTTTTTGTACATTCCAATTCCCATTATGTCAGAAGAGTACATTTCTGTTTCAGTGAACACTGAAACGTATGCCACACCTAATGAACACGGCTTGTGTCCAAAAGAGACAGACATGAGTCAGGGGTTACCTCAATGGCTGGCTTGGTGGGGTACGTGTAGTTACTATTCTGGGGGGTTCTCAGGAAGGGCTTCTCCTACAAGAGAAAAGAATCCACACAGACAGGTTATCTAACAGTACTGAGGATTGCTTAAGAACTAACAATCCTGCTGTCTTGATTTAACATGGTTCTTCTGCATTTAAATGGAAAGAACTGGGTAAACATAATTTCATTCATTCCCTAGAGGGTTTTACGTAACAGCTTTTCAAGGGATTCACAATAAAAGGCTTAATAAGGGTTTCGTGTGTATTCTAGTCTGGGCTTTTCATTTTCACCCTAGCAACTGAACATCTCCCTAATTCTCAGATTTACCTCTTTTCTTTCCTTTGTAATTTCTCTGGCATGAGATTCGCATGGCAGCATTTTTTTTTCTTTTCTAGGAAGTGTTACGATTATCATTATATTTTATTATCTGTTATAGTTTTTCTTTCTGCCTCCTTTGAACTATATCCTCTTTTGGTTGGTTTCCTATAGTTTGGGACTCTCTTTTTTTGGTGAAATATACTTTTCATTCTCTACTTACCTGTTTCACAACCAGTTTTCATACAAGTCCAGTCTAGACTCCAAGTCTACCTCATTCCAGGTGACAGGTTATTCAAAGAAGGGAGAGGAAATTATACAAAGCAGAAATGGAGGAAGTGAGCTAAGGAGAAAATGTAAAACTGAGAGGAAAGCAAGACCAACTTAGTGTGACTCAGTTCAGGAAATATCAAAGTGGTCACAGAGCTGGGGACAATCACAAAACACTTGTGGAGGAGAAAGGCCACAGCCGAAACATTTGGGAGTAAGAAAAGAAAACCAAAATGTTGAAAAAAGAACCCTTAAAGATAAATTCCAGGGGCTGAAAGCTGACTACTTGGGTAAAGTCGACGAGATGTTTTAATCCACTGAGGAGGACTGAAGGAGAGGAGGAGGAGGAGGAGGGAAGGGAGAGGGACTGGGATCTAAAGCTCTCAGAAGGGGTGTGCTTTCTTCTCTTCCTGCCTCAACCACTTCATCTTGGCTCACAGTTGACCCTGAGCACATAATCATATTCCTGCCTGGCACCATAGCTTTGCAACTTCCAAATGTCTCCATTTTACAGATGAGAACAGTAAAGGCCCAGATGGGGCAGGGACCTATTCCAGGTTAGAGATAAAGTAGTAAATGCAAAGCTGGGGCCAGCCCTGACCTGGACTGGCCTCTCGCCTGGTTCCATTCCTCACCTTAAGGCCAGGCCAACAAAAGACTGTAGGGTAAACAAAGAGGGTCACTTTGGAGGACAAAACCTATATGTGCAAAGCTTTCAGTCCCCAGCACAGACAGGCTCCCCTGGGGCACTGGACAAGCCTCCTCCTCTCTGAGTCTCGGCATTCCTGTCTGAAACCTGGGCCATCCTTCCAGGGACACGCATTTGAGGCCAAGAGCGGAACAGAAGAGGGCTTGCAAGGGCCTGTCTGCTCGGCTGCCAGCCTGCCTCAGGCAGTACTGTTCAGTGTGCCCTGAACAGTCGCCTCAGAGAAGGGCATTCTGGGAAATGGAGCCGCTCCCGTGTCCAGGGTAGGGTTCCCAGTGCCAGGATGAGGGGAGGGCACAAGAGGCTCGGCTCCTAGGCAGGCAGGGAGATGGCCCAAGAAGCTCTGAGACAGCTCAGCACCCGAGAACAGTGGCCCGGTGGGTGCGGGGATGCTGAGGGGCTGCCGTAGGACCTGTTGGTGTGCCCCTTAAAGATGAGGCTGGGGAGGGCTGCTAATTGTGATTGTCCCTGTACAAAGGAGCCCCGACTGACCTCAGTCAGGGGCTGGAGCCGGTCCCAGACTGACCAGCAAGGGAAGAGGCCTCTGGGAACATGAGCAGGTAGTAAGTGAATGTGGGGACAGGGAAGTGGTTTAGTTCCAGCTACCCCAAGACAACAGCCTGCCTGCAGGCAGAGCCCAGATGGCCACCTGCTTCGAGTCAGCAGCGTGAGTCAGGGGCTGTGGACGAGGCCACGCTATCTGCGCCACTAGGTATCGAGTTCCACGGAGGAGGAGGAGGAGGGCTGCTTTCCTCCTGCTCTGTGCTGCTTGAATCAACCCAGATCGAAGTCACCAACTGAAAGGAGCCACATTCCGAGAAGAACTGCCTCCACCGGGGAGGCTGGCAGTCACACCTGAAGGGCGAGGTTGGTGGGGAGGGGAGAGGGCACGATAGTGTGCCATGGCCTGTGCTCTGCTGTCTTCTCTCCCATGTCTCTCCATCTGCGCAGAAAATGCTGCTCTTTACCTGCAGATGGCACCACCTGCGGATGGGTGGCCTTGGCAGCCTGAGGCACTGCTCGGGAGGGACGTGGAGTGGCGGAAGAATCTGGTTACTGTATGGGGGAGGGCATCGAGGATCCCGAAGGCCCGCCCCACTGAGACCCTGAGGTCATCTGATTCTGGGACAGTGATAGGAAGGAAGGCAGGAGCAGGTAATGCTACCTGCAGAGCCGTGGGCATGGGAAGAGTGGCAGGAGCGAGGGACACTGGGGAGAAGCCCATTAGGCTCGGGGACTGCAATAGCACAGACAGAAATGGCGAGTCGGAAGGAGCACAGTGTTTGGGAAAATGATTGCTATTTAGGCATTACCTGCTCAACCAATTTTTGTTTGTTTGTTTGTTTTTGGTACCGGGATCTAACTCTGGACCTTGCGCTTATGAGGCAGGGGGCAGCACCACTGAGCTAAATCCCCAGCTCAACCAATTTTTCCAATGAATGTTGGCTGAGTTAGAGATAAGAGTGAGGTAGGGCAGTGTTAGGAGGATTTAGAAGCCCTGAGCATTAAAAAGATAATAGTGTCCCCCACGTAACTCAGAATAGAAAAACTGCTCACCAATAAAGCTTAAGGGAGGGCTGGGGATTTAGCTCAGTGGTTCCGCCGTCTGCCTTGGAAGCGAAAGGACCCGAGTTTGATCCCCAGTACCAAAAAATAAAAATAAATTAAAATAAAGCTTAAGGGAATCCAACAACTGTTTTTTTTCTCATGATAAAAGAATAAAATACATGATGTTCTTTCAGCCCTCTCCCCTTTCCTCCCTCTTTCTCTCTGGTTTCCTGACCATGCCTGTAACACTGTCTGGGTACCCCTTGCACCACAGGAGGGAACCTCCACAGGGACACTTGGAAGGGGGTTTGGGAAATGAAGCCAGGAGAAGCAGGAGGCTGCAGAAGCTCCTTAGGGCTCACCTCCTCCTCGGCTGCAGCCTTCCCCTGTGTCCTGCCTGTTGCTTCCATGTTTAGACACAGCTAGGGTGGAAATTATGTGCTGCCTGTCCCTGTGGGCTCACACGGAGATGCAGTGGACTTTTGCATGACTCCGAGGCACATGGGAGGGAGCAGATGGCACTTGAGGCACAGCACAATGAAGCTGGCCTGGCCAACAGATGGACCCTTCTGGAATGGGCTCCAGGGTTGCTTAGCAACAGCTTCTCTCAGGCTGGGCTTCTACTGGCTCTAGGAGGCTGGGTTTCCTCTCCTCAGCTCTCCAGTGGTTCCACTGGGCTCCACCCAGCTCATCAGTGGTTCCACAGGAAGGGGCTGAGCCCCTGGTGGCTGGAGATGCTGGGTGGAGTCTCACCTACATGGGGCTCCCTGCCTGGTCTGGGGTGAGGAGTGGCAGAGTTCTTTGGAAGCCTGTGGTGATGCAGATCTCCCTGATTCAGTGGCTAGACCCCAACTCGGTATTTTATATTTTGGGAAGAAAGAGCAAAGGATAGCTCTTGGTATGATTACTTTTGCTTTTTTTTTTTGGTACCGGGGATTGAACTCAGGACTTTTTGGTTGCCAGGGTGGTGCAGCGCCACTGAGCTACATCCCTGGCCCCTGATTACTTTTACTATCTAATGGAAGTGGGGTTAGCAATTTGGAGAGGGCCTTTCATGGCTGATATGTAATACAGCCACATGGATTGGAAAAATAGTGAAATACTTTTAGTTTCGCTTTGAGTCTCCAAAGCTCCCACTACCTATGTTGCCTTGGCCTCTTCCTAGACCCTCCTGAACACCCTCAGGATGTAACAATAAACGGTTTCTATGTGGCAGTCGGGACCTTGCCCACCTTCTGGCCTGCACATGACCCTCTGGCCTGGAGGCATTTAGGGGGCAGGGGTGGCTGCACGATTTGACTCTCTTGTTCCAATCCCCAGACCTAGCAAGTGCACTGCATTACATCACGTCCGTCTGGCCCTGCTTCCTGGTGAGGCTGAGCGACATCAGACTGAGCCTGGGCCCAAGGCTGGGGCGGAGAGGTGGTGGTAAGGGACCAGGCACAGGTGTCCCCTCTGCTCCAGGCCCAGCAGACACATGGGAGAGCTGAGGCCTGTGCCCTGCCTCCCCTCAGCCAGGAGGGAAGGAGAGGTCAGTGGGGCCTGACCCAGGAGGAAAACCAGCCTCCCTGCCAAGGGTCAGGCACTCTGCTTTTATTGCCACTGCAGGCTCTCTGGCCTTGCCCTTATTTGGTTACAAGGCCGTAAGACGGGAGCTGAAGGGAATGGGAACACGAACCCCCACCTCCAGGCCTGAAATCAAGCTTAACCACCACCACTTACATATTCCTCCTTAAAAGGATCCTGAGCTGTTCTCACCCTGACTGCAGGTTCATTGGTCCTCTCCTGCCCTCCTGCACACAGCTCAGACTCCCCTGTGCTGCCCTCTCTCACTGTCTCCGAGCTGGAACTTTGCAGTCCAGGCTTTACACTCTCTGACCACTACTTCTGAGCCTGCCTGGCCTCTTGCTACCTGCAGGCAGACAGTTCTATCTGCCCCAGAAGCTGCTGCCAAAAGGAGCCTTCCTCTGGATCCAGTTAGCCTCCTCAAGACCCTTGCTACATCCCCCCACCCCCTTTCCTTCCATAAGGGTCGGGCTGCTGCACCCATCCCAAAGAAGCAACCACCTCTGCGGTGTATTCTCATTAACTTCCCTTCTCCTCCAGAGTCTGTGTCCCCTCTCAGCCCCCACCCTACCCCAGGCCCAGGACGGGCAGTGGGGCAGCTGTTCTGGGGGACAAGAGGGAAGGCAGGGCCAAGCTCTGGTTCTGGAGAGGAATAAATACCTGAGTGGGGCAGGCCAGGGGGATGTCTGTTGTTAGGTCCAGGGTAGTGGTTTTCTCTCCCAGTGGTTCCAGCTGATCAGGGAAGAAAAGAAAGTCACCAGCATGCTCATTCCCTGGCAGCATCCTGCAGTGGGGAAGGCTCAGAACTTAACTTTGGGGGTTTGGGCTCTGCCACTCCTTATTCCGCCAGTTGCCCACCGTGGGACACTGAGCAAGTTACTCAGCTCCTCTGGGACTCATTGTCCTCAGAAATCCATAACACTGCTCTTGCTAGGAAGGGCTAAAATGAGAGCCCACAGCTTAAACTGCCTAGCACAGGTCTGGGCACATGGGAAGCGTTGGCTGAACGTGGGACGTCTGCCTTTTATGCAGAGAGCATCCCTCATGGTTCCAAGCACAGAAGAGGACAAGTTGTGAAGCCCAGGCCATGCTCCCCGTGTTCCATTCTATAGGTTCTGCCCCCCATGTTTTTCCATACTTAGGATTGAACCCAGGGCCTTTGCACTGAACTACTTGTTCATTTTGAGAAAAAGTCTTGCTAAGTTGACTAGGCTGGGCTCAAACTTTTGATCTTCCTGCCTCAGCCTCCCAGTGTGCTGGAATTATAGTCATGAGCCACCATGCTTGGCCAAAAGCGTGGCCCTTTTATAGGAGTTCATGCTTTGCCCTAAATTAGAACCCCAGCAACACTCCACTTATCTTACCATATTGACCCAAAGGGCTCTAGAGAGTTGGGAGTGGAATTTCTGGCTTGGGTGGATGCAGTCTGGGGCAAAGAAGGAGGTATCTGGACGCCCATCCTGAAAGAGACAAACACTCTTCCTCATGATTCTACTAGGTAAGAGGGAGCCACAGCCCTTGATCTGACCCCTGGGACAGACCGTGCCATGCCCTGCTCCCCTGGGAGGGCTCCAGGTCACGTTCTCTACAAGGGCTGCTCACTTTAAGTGCGAAACAAGAACAGACCCACACGTGACCCTAGCCCCGCCCTCCTTTTTGGCTCCACATTTCCCCCTTATTTAATAAAAAAGTGCTCTGTTTGTTTTTAGGCACACTTGTATGGTGCCCCTAGCTCAGGCCATAGACTAGTTCCTCCCTAGACCAGCCAGGCAGGGAAAATCGATGTCCCAGTCTGCAGCTCACTAGTCCTGGTGGTGTTGGTGAAGGAGAGTGGAGATGAACCCTGGGCAGGCCTGGGCAAAGCTGGCACTGGGCCAGGGTGCCAGCTGCCTTCAGCTCCTCGTGTGGCACTTGGGGATGCACAAAAGCTGTTCTCCTGGCTTCCCTCCAACTAGGAGAGGCCTTGGGATATAGCCCCCACCTGCTCCACTCACCGATCTCTTCTGTTCTAGTGGAAGCACCAGGTAAAGAGCACAGCCAAGGGGCCGGGGATTTAGCTCAGTGGTTCCAGTGCCTGCCTGGCAAGCGCAAGGTCCCGAGTTCAATCCCCGGTACCAAAAAAAAACAACAACAACAAAAAAAAACACAGCCAAGGGTTGGAAACATAACACCAAGCCCCTCCTTTAAAACTGCAGGCTTGCATGCAATAGAGACCATGTGTGTGGCAGAAAGTTAATAACGTGGAGTTAGATACCTTTGAATTTTGCTCCTCTGTGCCTTTTTGCTTAGTTGATTCTAGGAAGGGTACTTCTGATTTTAGGGAGGATACGGGGATGATAAAACACACAAAAACAGGTACAGGGTCTGGCACATGGTAGGTGCTCAACACAATGGAGGCCGTTCTCAGGGGCTACAGGAACTTCTACATCAGGCTGCCCCAGAAACGTGGCGTGGGTGTCCAAGGACACTGTGCCTGCCGCAAGATCACCTGGGAGCTCTGTCTTTCCCGTTTCATCTGCAGAGCCGCAGAAACACTTGGCGTCTGTGCCTGGACTGCCTCCTGCCAACACCATGGCAGCGCGACCCTCCGGTTCCCGTGAGCGGGTGGGGGCGTACCTCCAGGACAGGGAGCACGACGTTGAGGAAGAAGGGCTGCAGTACCACCGAGAAGTCCTCGTGGGTGTCGTAGCGGCCTGACTCCACCAGCTCGTGCATGCTGCTCTGGAGACATCAGCACACGGGGGCCTTTAGCACAGGTAGGAAAGGCCAGGTGGGAGAAGCACCTCTGCCCCCACCTCCCAGACAGGGGAGCTGACTCAGCCCCGTCCCTGAGAACACAAAGGCAGGTCTCTTTTTGGAGACTTTGGAGAGAGGGTAGAGCCCATTTGGGTTTTGAGTTTAATGACCTGCACTCTCTGAAGGGCTAGGCAGGGGATCCCACAAGGAATAAAGCCTGCAAACCCCAGGCTCCCAGCCTGGAACTCCCCTTCTTACGGGCTGTCTGCAGTTGGGGGGGGCCCGTAGGGCTCAGGTGAAAGGGGTGAGGGCGGCTGGGCCTTTGGGGTGGTCTCCTGGGCACCCGGGACTACTGGCCAGAACTGGGATGAAGCCCCCAAGGGCAGCTCAGCCATGAGAGCTTTATCATCCACATTCCACTGAGATGACTCCCACCAGAGTCCCCTCAGAGCCAGGTGGGACAGAGGAAGGGCCTGGGAGGCTGATGCCTTCATTCCTGGCATGCCTCCCCGGGGGGCCTCTGGGCTGTGATGTCAGAGTGAGTGCAGAGGAGGAGACGTAGGAAAGTGTCTCTCTATCTCACCTGGTAGGCTTGGGTGAGGGCATCCAACCTGGCCAGCTCGTGGGAGTTCTCTCTCAGGGTCAGGACACAGTTGCACAAGGTGCTACGCGGAGGAGGAAGCAGAGGAACCCAGAGCCAAAGCTCTGTTCAGGCGCTGCAGCCTTCAGACTGCCTCGGGTGGGAGTGAGGGCCTCACTCAAACCCTGATTTAGGAGCACGTGTAGCTGGAGGCTCCACAGCTCGGGCTGCGCTGCGGGGCCTGGCTAGGCCCAGGGAGGAAATGGGGCCTGTGAGCACCCTCCGTGTGAACGCAGCACTGGTGATGGGCTGTAGGCCTTGGGCAAATGAGTTTAGGAAATGAGAATGCGGTGCTTGAAGAATAAAAACAAAACTCACTCTCTGGTATTTGTTGGCCTTTGGTGTTCGTGCCTCCAAATACCTTCAGGGCTGCAGTGTCCCCTTTTGTTTTATGGTGAATCAATTCACATCTATATGTACTTAATGTTAAAAGGTTAGAGGTGCTCCTTTTCCTTCCTTTCTTTCGTTTTTTGAAACAGGATCTTACCATGTAATTCAGGCTGGTCTTGAACTCACTATATAGCCCAGACTCGAACTCACACGATCCCCTGCCTCAGGCTCCCGAGTACTGGGATTATAGGTGTGCGCCACCATGCCTGGCTAGAGGTGCTGCTCTACTTATAATAGGGTTATAGTCAGATAAGCCCATTATAAGTTGAAAATATTTCACATTAAAAATGCATTTACTACAACTAACCTACTGACCATCACAGCTTAGCAACACCATACACTGTGGAGTGTTGGCTGTTTCCCCTGGATTGTAGGTCTGACAGGGCCACAGCGCTGTGCTCCTGCCTGGAACCACAAAACAGCATGGTGTCACGTACCAGAGCTATATAGTACTACACGTTGCCAGCCCAGGAAAAAGTCAAAACTCAAAATTCCAAGTCTGGTTTCTAGTGAGTGCACATGGCCTTTGCACTATCATAAAGTTGAAAATTCTAAATTAGGGACTGTGTGTATTTTTAAAGCACTTAGAACAGTGCTCGATACACAGTAAGTTCTATGAGATTTGTTTAATCAATAGACATATGTATAAGGTATAAGTATCACATAAGAAGAACGAAACACTTGTCCACGGACCTGCTGCCCAGTATAGGCAACAGAACAGTCCCAATCTGAAGTCGCTTGTGTCCCTCCCAGTTCTCTTCCTGCCCATAACATCTGACCACACACACCCCTCCCAGGATGTTGCCCCTGCACAGTCTGGACTACTCTGCAAAGCAGCCTGTGGCTCCCAGTGTCACAGAAGTCCCTAGCCAGCACCTGGCACCTTGGGATTGTATAAGAGGGAGCAGAGCCAACACCTCCATCTCCCAGAAGGGGGTGATTCAGCCCAAGTTCTCTTTTACAGACATGGACACATGGACAGACCAAGTCACCCGGACCCTGAGGAGTCACTGCTGCATGTGGGCCCAACCACGGGGTAGGGGTAGGGGTGTCTCCAGCCTGGGTGGTCAGCAGCTGCCTACCTGGCCTGCTGCACTGGGCACTTGTCTGGGTTCCCCAAGAACACCTGCCGCATGACACTGGGATTCATGAAGTCCACGAGGTTGACCAGGGCTCTGGGCACCTGAGGGCCAAGTTGCAGGTGAGATAGAGGCTCTGGGGCTTCTTCTCTGGGCTGCCTTGGGACCCGGAGACGTGGCAGCTGGCCAGTCTGGGACCTCCAGTGCAGTCCATCCTGGAGTAGGGCTCCGGGAAAGAGTCCACACAGGGCCTCGTCCTAGGGCACTACAAACTGTGCATCACTCGACTGCACAGGGTCACACTCATGTGGGCTGCAGCGCCTCTGGAGTAGGCTAGTAACCCCTAAGGGGTCAGCCCTGTCCAGCTATCACTTAGTGAGCCCCAAAACCTTAATTTTAAATTTGGTGAGATAGGCGACCTACTTGCCAGGCTACCGGTCCTTGACAAAATGCCCAGCCTGACCTAGTGCTACTGAGCGGGCAGAGAGATTCTACTACTCAGGAGGGCAGCTGGTGGTCACAACGCTCCCTGGGACCTGGGCATCAGAGCAGCCTGTTCTTGACAGGGGATGGCGCCAGCCAGGGGAGACTTGAGGCTGCAGTGCCAATTAGACAACACTGCCTTCCTTTCTCCAAACCTGAGATCCTTTTGGGACTGATTCCACATGGAATGAGGCTTGCTTGGGAATGGACCTCAACCTCTGGACAGCGAAGGAGCCCATGCTCTCGGCTCTCTCCTTGAAGGAGAGCTTCCACCATTCTTCCCCTGCCCACATTCCCCCCACCACGTTGGCGCTCTCCATGCAGGATGTCCTCTCACCCACCTCTCTGTGCAGGAAGTCCAAGGCATTGCGGAGATGGTTTAAAAAGCTGTCTGCAGAATACAGAATCTGGAAAGAGACATGAGGGAAGGAAAGCAGTTGCTGGTTCGGTGGGGCAGCTGTAGCTGTCCTCTCTGATTCCAGCCCCAAGGACTTATTTTCCCTCTGGCCTCCAGCTATAACTAGCTCAGCACAGCAGAATCTGAGAGGAACAGTTGACAACTCACTGTTGTCAGAGAGGGGCCACCAACGGGACTGGCGTCTTTGACCAGAGCCTTAGTTGAGAGCAGAGAGTGAAGAGTCCTCACCCAAATGCTTGGGGTCTATAGTTTCTTTTCTTTCTGAGTTCTCAAGAGTAGTAAGAGAGAGTAGAACCACCATATGTCTGTCAACTGCTACCTCACCCTGTGGGACATGAGGATGGTGCCAGGAACCCGAGGGGCATGGGGCAAGAAGGGGGTGTATGGGTATGCACGTGTGTTGTACAGCATGTGTGCTGACATAGGCACAACTGGGTGCTCTTAGGGTTGGTTCTAGGCACTGTTCTGAGAGAGGATCTGCAAAGCCTGCTGGCCAAAGGCAGGGGCAAGGAATAGGCCTAGGTCCTGGCCCCGTTACCGAATCTGTGCAGTAGTGACACAAATCATTGGCTCCAATCAGCACCGTGATGACCTTCCAGTCTTCATGGAAATGTATTCTCTATACGGAGGGAGGAAAATCCTTAATGATTTCCATCAAACAAAAACATCATAGATCTAGAAAATTCAGTCATCCTCTGTGACCTCCTTGTTCTCTTGAAACAATAGAATCTGAATCTCAGAGCTGACAGAATTTTAGAGATTTATAGACCACAGATACCCAATACCTGGAGAGACTTTAAAGGTCATGGTGACCAGCAACAGTCTTCTCCCCATTGACACAACGTCCTCTACAGGGTGTCAGACAAGGAGCAGGCCCACCTCTGCTTAAATGCCTCTAGCGATGCGGGGCTCACTGCTTTCTGTGGCAAACCATTCCATTCACATCATAATAACCACAGGTCTGACTCACATGGTCATCTTTCATCTTCTGCACCAGAGTCTGGACTTGGTTCATGAGGTCCCTGAAAAAGGAGGAGGAATCAGTTCTTCTACTGAGGGAGAGTGTCCATATTTTTCCTTCTCAACAGCCCAAACCAGTTTCCAGGGATGCCATCCTCACTGAATGAGCGGCCAAGATCCCTAGGCTCAGAGGCCGGAAGCTACCTGGCTTTTCCAGAGAGTCGTTACAGCAGATAACCATGCGTTTATCTTAAAGCTGTCGCCCCAGCCCCTCCATCCTCCCTGCCATGGACTGGTCACAGAGACAGCAGGGAAGGGCAGCCCTGTCCTCTGAAATCACTGCCACAGATGAATGAAGGTCCCTCGGCACCCACAGGCCGGTACTGCAATCTTAGAGCATCAGCAGTATGCCTCAGCTCCCTACTGCACAGCCCCCCATGCCATACTCAGCCATCGCTCCAGGAACAGCCTGGTTGAGGAATGCATTTGCGTCGCTGGCATCACCAGTGCCCACCACGTAACCAGTGAGGTTTCTGTTAAACTCCAGGAGGATATCTGAATAAGGAGAAGTGAACAAGGCACAAAGTGCTCAGGATGGAAGGCCAAGGTGCCTCCCCGGGTACCATAGGGTCTGAGTCTCCATGGTGTCCTTATGATTCCAGAGGAGAGGCAGGGAGGGCAGGAGCATGCCCGGCCTAAACTGGGACTTCTGTGAGCTAAAATGACTTAATGACAAGATAACCCAGGCAGCAAGAGCCTCTCGCTTAAAAATATCTTTATACAATTCACAGTGGAGTGAAGGGCCCCTGTCTAATTTGTCTCAGCAGAGAAGGCTGATTGAAAAGCCGGTGGCTCACAGAGTCTGGTATCTTGCCCTAGGTCACCTCACAAGCTCATAGAGAGGGTAAGGCCTGGAACCCACCTCTCTGGTCTCCATTCCACCCACTTTGGCTGCTAGTCCATAGCCTCTCCTCCTCCCACAATGGTGGTCCAGAGAGGAATGTTATTTGATCCTTTCTTCACTGGGCGACACTCCCTAGAAGCTTCAGGACCAGATGGATGGGAGGACATGCTCGAGCCCTTGGCGGTTACTTACCGGATAAGGTGGTCACATTCTCCAGGGAGCCGTCCCCACCCGAACTGCAGGGAGCGATCGAGCAAGCCAGCCAGCGAGGGAGAGAGAGATGGAGTCAATAGTCAATACACAAGCTTTACAACAAGGCCACCCCGCCCTTCTCAGGGCCAACAGGCACCTGCAAGGGGAGGCAGACCCACCTCTTGGTATCTGAGAGATCCTGAGAAAATTTTAAATTCACCTGTGGATTGGTTCCCTCCCACAAATCCAGAATTTGAAGGTAGGAAAAGCTTTTTCTTTTCTTGACCACATCAGGAAGGAGAGCACTTAGTCAGAATATACTGTGTGCTCAGCATGGAGTAGATTCTCTACTGGTTCTCATCTCCTCACAAGTGTATGAGGTAGATGTGACTTTCTCCATTTTACAGAGTAGAAAACTGAGCGGCATAGAGATTAGCTAAATTGCTGAGAGTAACTAGGACCCAGCCTGAGTGGGAATCCTTTAGAACCTAAACTCTTCTCTGGACAGCGTCAGGTCAATTCTGCTGGAGGGTTCAGAGGACAGCCCTCTCCCTGCCTTCCAGCGCTTGCTATAATTTCATCTGACCTAACCTCAGATGTTCTAAAAGACTCCTTTTCCTTTCATATGTTTAAGTTGAACACGACATATAAGAGGCCAGAAGAGAAGTATTGTCTATTTTAACAAAACTCGACATTCAGATGTATTGTATTTACTGTCATTTTGCTTCTGGGCCTCTCTCCTCAATCCCAGCATCTTATTCCAGGCCAGTTGATTTTCAGAACATAGCTTTAGCACTCATCTCAGTGGCAGAGACTTCTAAAGGATGGCCGTGAATCAGTCCTAGCTGTTCTTCATTCAAGGAATGCTCAGAATGAAGTGGACTGTTTCTTGTACCAGGCTAGTTGGAGGCTTCATCGGAGGCTGAGAAGCACCCCAGGTCGTAGAGAAAAGGCAGCTAGGTTAGCCCTGCTCTTCTGCCCACTCAGTTCTCTGGCCCACTGCCCAGCCTCATCTGAACCTAAAGGGGCCAGTTGTTGTACATATGCTCATGGTTCCAATTATTTTCCAACTCTGCACAAAGCTGCCACTTCAGCTGCTTCCTGATTCTTTCTCTGGACCAAAGGTACCAAACAGGAGCATTTTACATTTGGGAAAAAAAAAAAAAAATCCCTATATCACTTCTAATCATTGCCTTCCAACTCTGCCTTCTTTTCCCCTTCAACAAAGAGTACTAGGATTTCTGTTTTAAAGGTATCTTGGTGCTAAAAGAAGTAGGTGTCGGACCAAGCCCAACAGTCTAGGAGAATCTCTCCCTGATGCCATTTTAGAGTGAAAATGTCTAGGAGAAAAAAGATTATACAGATTAATAGGGAGGAACAAAACAATTTTAGTCACCATCCTGATCAGAGCTACGAAAACACGAAAGAAAACAGATCGTGTCAAAACAGACCCATGCTAGTATACGTCAGACCCTTCGATGAACTTAATGTGCATGACACTCTGAGCTTAGTGGCTGGGCCTTGTTCGTCTGTTGTCACCCACAGAAAAATAGAGGAGGTGCTCGGTAATATTTGTTGAAGGAGCTTCAGTAATGTGAGATGGAAGTCTCAATTAAAAGCACAAAGAAATATATCTTCTGGTCGGTAAGTAGATGTTTTATTTTGGTCCACTGAATGTTGTCCACACAAGACAACATATTTCAGTGGGAGAAAAGACTGTGGTCTAAAGACCTCTGCCTGCCTCACTGGTGAGCTGGACAAAGCTGGAACCATCCACTGTGCATGATCTCACAGGCCTAGAGGCCTTGGAAATATTCACATCTGCTCTGTTTCCTTGGGAAAAGAGGGCCCAAACTGGGCTCTTAATTTACCAGGAGCCATTAATTGACTAGTATTTCCAATCTAGAAGCACGGATGGCTCCAAAGCATTCATTGCTTTACTCAGACCAGGTTACTACATGGCCTTTTCCCAGGAGATATGAATAGGTATGATAAACAAAGAATTCTGGAATTCAGGGAAATGCCAGCTTAGACATAAAATGAAAACATTTCAATGCAGCACTTCTCAGAGCCTTTATTATGCTAATATTCATGTAAATTGCCCCAAAGAAAGAGTGTAGCCTGTAGTGTTTCCCCCCAAACACAAAGGATTTCCTCCTCTTGGATGGAATTAATGTTCTACAGAACACACTTTGAGAAACTAGTTTCTACCACAACTCAAACCATCCCTGACCAGGCTCTGACCTAGAGTTTCCATCCTTAACACAGGTGCATTTAGGGGTAGATATGTGAAACTTCAGGACAAATACAAAGTTTAAAGGAAAAGCAGCCATGAGACAGTGCTGAAGCTAGAACTAGAAAATTCAGACATTTCCCTGGAGGGAACAGAGCAATGGCTAGATTGTTGCACAGCCGCAGACAGAAACTTTAAACAGGAGAAGGCCTTTGTACAGTATTAGGGTTCTAGGAGCCCAGCCAGGTGAACAGCCTGGGAAGCTGGGCCAACCACTTCACTTTTCCGGGGGTCGCTTACCTATCTCGTGTGGTTTGTCTGTTTCACTTTCTCTTTCCCCACATTAGGACGGGAGGTCACTGCCTTCCTTAGCTGAGACCATGTGCAACCGCCACAACTGGTGCTTTTCCTAACTTGGAACAGGCTCCGTTTTCTTTCTCTCCCTCTGGCCTTTCTTTTCCTGGTAGCCTCACAACACTGGGTGAGCGGGCAGTGGCCCAGGCTCTGCTGTGTTCTGTGCAGTCCACTAGGGCCACTGGCCTGGCTGAAGGCGTGGTAGAAATTTCGGGACCTCAGGGCAGGAGGTATTGACCTGGGCTCTCGGGGAGGGGAGCATGCCCTATGCTAAGGGCATCACAGGTCCTTCCCTTGGTGGCAACAGGCTTTGTGATGATGTTTCTCTCCTGCCCCAAAAGCTTCTCTCTTTCTCTCTCTGGGACTCTCCTCATCTCTGGCTGAGGAACCATCACAGACCCGCTCATTCCCTCTGTTTCCTCTCACTTTCTTGGGGGAGATCTTTAAATTAGCTCCCCAAAGAACAGGCAGGCAACAAATGTGTTCCTGTGCCACCCACTGCTCATTTTGGGGCTCACTGCCCTCTCGTGGCTGCCTTCGGCCTAATTGTTTTCCCAGGTAAAATCTGAGCTACTCACCAATTGCTCTGAAGCATTCATCAACACACATTTTATTTGGAAAGAAAGAAATGCAAGAATACCCACAACCAGCTGCTCGCCCGACACTGAGCTTTTCTACTTCTGCATCCGGACTGCCCTTTCCTACCTCTTCTACTTGTCTGATGGCAAATCTTTCAAGGGCTGCTGGGTACCACCTTCCCTGGGAAGCCTTCTGTCCTGGAAGGCTTGTCATTCCCTCTTCTCTAGCCTTGTAGTGCTCAGGCACCTTTTATTTCTAAAGAGCACTTGCCAATTGAGCATATGCCTTACATAGAGTGCCTTCACCCACGCTTAACATTATGCCAGTACAGGGGAGGGGATCAGGGGTCCCCGTCGATTTGTCTTTGTCATTTCCCCCTGAAGTGCATGTCGGGTTTTGGCAGTTTTCTGTACAGATGTGTTCATGTACATAGAAACAGAGGTGTGACTACAGAACAACATGAATAGATACACACAGACAGATGTAGGAGCATCTACACATGCATACAGACATGCGAGTGGGCAGGTGAAGACTCAGGGCTTTGGTGTTTTTCGGGTACATTTCATGTTGGATTTGCTGACCAAGGAGGCTGATAAGAACCTTGGTTTATTTTTTCTGTATAATTTAAAAATAAAAAGATTATCAACAGTGAAATAGCCTCTCCATCCACCAAATGTTCATATTTTACAGCAATGAAAGCCCCTTCTTTGGACCCCCATCTCTAGGGTGAGCCCTGGGGGGAGGAGGTCAAGGGTTAACATTACCTGTATGACAGCCCCCGATACTGTGTGGTGATATCAGGGAGGTCACCTGGTTTGGAGCCGATTCCACTGCCGGCCTTTGAAAACATATCACAGGAAAATTAGCAAGTTCAAGAAAAAGGGGACTGTGGCAGGGCAGGGCAGGGCTCCTAAAGAGGTAGTTTCCAGTATGCTCAGCACAGAAGGAGCAAAGCATGAGAGAAGGAGACACGGGCTCACCTCTGCGACTCTCCCTCCAGCCATGTCCCTGCCCTGCCTATGGCCACCTCCTGACCGAACCAGGGACAAGCCCTGTGATTCCCATGGGGCAATTTTGGGGCCAACTTGGAGCACAGTTGTTCAGACTGTTTTGAAAACTCTCAAGTGCTTTACAAATCGAAGAGAGTGTTAATATCACCAGCACTTTGTTCCTTGTTTCTTTATGAAAGAAGTGTTCATCGGAGGGCAGGGATCTAGAATGGCCAAGCCATGCCCAACCCACCCGGGGCCCAAGCGTCCTTACAGTCAGAGAATCCCCTAGAGCAGCCACAACGCGGATATCTGCAGGTCTCAGGGCATGCACTGGAAAGGTAAGGGAACAGGCTGGGTCTACAGGAAGGAGGCTGCGGTCAGAACTTAGCACTTTTTGCTTCAAGCAAGAAAGACTGGGCATCCATGCTCCCACAGGCACAGACATTATAATAGGAGAGGATGACAAACTAATCCTGGACCTAAGTTTGGCAGTTGGGGGGTGGGAGGTAGACAAATGGATCGAAGGAAAGGAGGGGGAAGGAAGGTCTCACCAGATTGCTCACCAATCCGCTCCATGGTGTAAGTGCTTGCGGAGCTATGGGCTCTAGTGTGTCACAGGGCCTTACCTGAAGTGGGAGGTGAGGCAGAAGGGGTCCTCTCCTTGCATGACAGCCTTGTCCCATGGCTCTAAGAACATAGAATGAATCCCAAAATCACAGAGTTAGAAGGGGCCAGAGAGGCTGGCTGGGCATCAGATCCACCCAAAGGGCTTTAAAACATACAGATTTCTGATCTCAAAGTCGCCCTAGGTGATTTTGAGTATCAGCAGCCAGGTTGAGCTCTGTGAATCTAGTCCAGACAATTCCTTTACCCAGTGTAAGACTCAAGGCTTCAACAAATGACCCCAACCCATACCACCCTCCGCTCCTGCCCCAGTTTGGTAGAGAGGAAGGTTCTCCTCAGTCTGCCTGGACGGCGCTGTGGTTTGAATGGCTGAGGAGCTTATTCTGCCTTCTGAAAGTACAGGTGGGTGAATGATCTTTGTAAAAGGGAGCAATTAGCAGATACCTCTATGCTGTTCTTGTAGGTTCTCAGGAACGGGGAGACCTGTGGGCAGAGGGAGTGAGTAGTGGCAGCACATGCAGCTTGCTTCTCTGTTTACCAGCTTGCAACAAGTGCCAACGTGGACACACATCTCCCCTGGGCCTCGCTACTCCACAATCTGAGCCCAGTGCCTCCCATCCATGCTGACCATTAGAGGCTCTCGTTCAGAATGCACGGGGCCTTCTCTAGACGAAGACTTAGAGTAACCCTTTAAATGGCTCCCAGCAACATGTGTGTCTCCCTGCCTCCACCAGCCCCCATGGCTGACACCCCGTTGCCTCTTTTTCTCTACCCACTTCCTCCCAACAACAGTACTCCTCTTCCTGCTCATAAAAGCCCCAGCCTCCCCTTACTGGGCTTCTCTGCTACTCCACACCCACTCCACCCTGCAGCAGCCTGGGCCTCTTCTTGCTCAGGCAAGAAAAGTCAGATTTTGGTCTTGCCCTGTTCAAGCCTTAGCATGTGATTCCCAGTAGCAGGCCTGGAACCCTTCTGGATATGGAGCGAATTATAGGGGTATGGGCAGCAGCCATAGAGCCCCAAGAATCCTTCTAACAATTTATGGATGAAAACAGGGGTCTTGTTCTGCTTTTCTAGCTCCCACTTCCAATTTAGCACCCTTCCCTCCACCCTCTCTCCAGCCAGGTGGCATTCTAGGTCTCCGTTCCTCCCTCCTCCCAGATTGTGGTGGAGGCAGTGGCTGTGTGCATGCAGGCTATCCTTGGGTCCCAGCTGCCCTTGAAGTTCTCCCCTGTTCTCAGTCTTCAAAATGAGAGCTGGCTGTGACTGCCATGTTTTTCCTGTCTGCCTGAGAAAATGGTGCCCATCTTGGACTGTGCTCGGAAGCCCTGCAATGCAGAGACCAGGAGCACTGCAGGGACCAGGAGCACTGCAGGGCCTCCAGCGCCTGGGGTCTTCAACCCTCTCAGTTCAACTGGAAGGGGCATCATGCATGTTGACCTGGAATATTGAATGGTGTGGGTCCGTGGACAGAGCAGGGCTGGGGCGAGGCCCTGGGGTGAAATGAACTGAGAAGCCTAGAGAGCATCGGAACCTGAAGAAGACACGGTTCATAGAGTGCTGCAGGGACACACATCTCATCCTACCTCATTTGGACAAACGATGTCGATCTTGATTTCAAAATTATGTTGTGTTGCCTTCTGGCCAACGGGTTCCAGCTAAACCAAGAAGCAAGAGGATGGAGAATGAGAAAGAGGTGGCCAGAGTGGAAAGGTCAGAGTCCAGGATGGGGGTGTAGGAGGGAGGGAGGAGCAAAAGCAATGGGACTTGGAGGGAAGAGGATGTTCCTTCCTTAGCCAACGTACCATGTTTTTCCAGAGGGCGCTAGCTGCGCGGGCATGAGTCTTGCTGCTGAAGTGGAAACAGTCAGGGGCGAAGAAAGACTTGTCAGGAAAGCCCTTCTGGTCACCAGCAGAAAAAGAGAGGCAGTTACAGAGATGTCGCCTGGCACAACAGATGCTTGGAACAGCTGGGCACCACCTGTGGGCTCCGCTCGTCTGTAATGGGGACTTTCTTTACCGAGGTCTTTGGTATGTTCACTTTTTCAAATAATGGCTGCACAACCACTGTAAAGTCTTCTCTTGTGTCATATCGTCCACTCTCAATCAGTTGGTCAGTCCCCTCCTGCAGGAGGAGAAGGGAATAGGGATCAGGGGTCCTCTCTGAATCTACTTCATCCTTGCTCTATCTCTTCTTTGCACAGAATTAAACAGAATCTGGCTGTTGGATGCATCAACCTTCAGCAAAATCGCAAGTGCCCAAGAGCCAGCAAGTTTTTGATCAGCCCTAAACAGCCCCTGGCTCACACCTTTGCTGTATTTGCATATATTTGATTTAGGATGTAGAAAAGGGAAGGCAAGAATAATCTAAATCTAGTAGCTTGACCACTTCCTCCCTTTTAAAGCTATTCTGATTAAAGACTTGAGGGGTTGGTATTTGATTAAGTGGCATTTTGGATAATCCTTGTATTTATTTCTGTCCTACATTTGTTCAGAAAAATCAAAGGCAAGTCAACAACAACGATGTATTATATTACTTGTGCAGTGTGTGTGTACGCACGAGTGGACATCTGTGCATCTTTGAGGCTCTCGGATGTATCTAGGAGGGTAACAGCTATAATCCTCCCGGCTTCTGCTTGGGCTTAGTTCTAGGAAAACCAGTTACCCTAGTTCTGATGGTCACGCCTATCAGACTCTGTCATTTCACTCTCACTAGAGTTTCCAGCATTTGGGAGAGAGAAGTCAGGCTCATGTAGCTGGGAACATTAGTGTGGTCATCTCAAAAGTCACATGCACTGTCTTTTCCCAGGGTCAGCCAGGAGGAGAGCCCCAGTGACAGAGAAGCCTCGTGTCTGACCTCCTGGGCCAGCCTCTTCCATTACAGGCATAGCCCTGAGTAGGACGAGAGAGAAGGAAAGGAACATTTCAAAACAAGAGACTTCCAGAAGGTACAATATTGCTAACTAGCTGTGTGACTTTCAGCAAGCCCTTTTGCTCTCTGGACCCCCATTTCCTCAGCTGAAAATAAAGAATGTTAGCCAAAGCCTGGACTATCTCTTGAGCCCCTTCCAATGCTACTAGTTCTCCTGGGGTCAGCCACAATGGCTCACAGTGGAGCAATGGAAAGAAATATGGTGTAGAGACCCTGGCATTTGGTAAGAGCTAAATAAATGAGTGTGGTTATTAATAGCAAAGATCATCTTCAGGGAAAGTGATGAGAACCAGAACTTCTGCAGGGAGAAGGGAATGAGATGGTCCTGAGAGGGGAAGATGGCTTCATGAGACTGATCTGTGAGTGTCTCCAGGACACCAGATCTTGGTCTCAGTGGTGACCAAGTTCAGATGTGGGAACAGGTCACCTCTCTGTTGGTGAGTGCTGGAGAATCCAGTCATTTTGCTCTATCTGTGGGAGATTGTTTCCAGGACCCCCGTGGATGCCAGAATGCATGGAAGCTCAAGTCTCTGATGTAAAACTGGCATAGTAATTGCACATAAGCTACATGCACCTTCCCTATACTTTACACCACCTCTAGTTTGCTCAGAATATGAAAAACAATATAAATACTATGGAAATAGTTGCTGTGCTATATTGTTTAAGGAATAACAATAAGGAAAAGTGTCTCCCAAACAGATACATTTTTCTCCCCAAATATTTTCCTTCTGTGGTTGCCTGAATTTGCACAGATGGAACCCACAGATCTGGAGGGGCAACTGCATTTCCTCTCCTTGTAGGCTGCTCAGTATCTGAATCCACTTCCTATGTCTGAAGACCTCCACTGTAGGAAGAACAACCTGCCTCTTCATGGAGAAGCTGGAAAAGACCACTCGCTCTCCCGACCTTTGTAACTGTGGTATGGGCCCATGAAGGGGCTCTCCATCCATGCCCACCTTGGGGACAGACAGAGTCCATTCTGCTGATGAAGGATGCTGTCTCCAGTTCTTAGAAGCAGCAGTGATAGTGCTTTCCACGATGCCTCCTCTGGTTAAGGTCTCTGGGCTGATGTTGAATCTTATGGCTCAGCCCCTAGGAACCTCTGACTCTGATTCCTGGTGGCTCAGCCTCCAACCCTAGCTAGCTCTCTAGCTCTTCTGAGACTCTGCTTAGATACGATGTCTCTTTAAATTACCCACCAAGCACCCTGCCCAGCACAGGGCTGCTCTCCTGGCCATAACCTCAGCTTCTTTCCTCTCCTGATTCAGGGTGTGCACTTCCTCACCACTGTGACAGGGGCCTGCACCCAGCAGAAGGAAGCACTGCTGGGGAGTCACCAGGGGGCTGGTCAGTGGTGACAGGATGATAAATAAAGGTTCATTTCTCTGAGTCCCTGACACACCCAGCCAGTATGGCTGCCTCCAGAGGAGTTTGCAGGGAAGTGCTCTATCCTTGGAGGCCATGGGTTTTTGAAGGATGGATTACCTCTGTAAGCTGCTTGCAGGCCACTCTGAAAGGAAGGCCACTGTTGTGCCCTTTGAGTGATTGGACGATTGTTTTGGGGGAAACTCAAGATGGTCTAGGCAATCAGCTGCCTGGTCAGCTTTGACAGTGGAAGGACTAACACACAACCCACAAGACAGGCCGGCTGTTGGCGCTCCTGCTTGTGCACTGCAGGGACAGCTGTTCCTGGGAGGGGGTGAAGAGGGAGGGCTTGTCTCCCCTGGGAGCTTCAAGACCCTCTAGGGAGGAGGTATTGCAGCCTCAGTTTCCCACCTAGGAGCTGGAAGCTAAGACAGATCCACACCAAGATTTCTTCCCTTGATACCTGTCATGCCTTGTGGCTAGATGCCCCCCAGAGCCTCATGTGGTCATAGATGGGGCTTTTCAGAGGTGGCTGGATCTAGGGTGTGTGATGCTGGGATTATTAAGGGTGTGAGTGCTACCCGGCCTAAGGGTGGGTAACCTAGATAAACTACAAGGGCCAGAAAGACAGGTGCTGTTGTTGTTGCTTGTAGCTTGCTGCTTGCAGCCTTCTGCCTGCTGCTCTGGGATGCTCCTCTTCGGTGCCACCCCACCTTGGAGCCAGCCAACTATGAACGGAAACCTCCACACACTGTGAGCTAAATAAACCTTTCCTCCTTTAACTTTGGGAGTCAGATATTGTGTCTCAGGAGTGAGGAAAGTAACTAAGACAATATCCACTTATCTATGACAAGTGGCAGCATTTGTTTTCCCATAAAGCTGGGAATGGAGATTTAGTGAAGCGGGTCTTGTGGTTTGATTGCAGCCTCACTCAGATTAGCTGAGCTGCAGCCTGGCTCCCTCTTGGGTGGCCTTACACTGACCCACTGCTCAGCGGTCACCGCCCACCCAGGTGGGGTTAAGTCCCTCAGCATTGCCTCATTCTGCGAACCCATGGCAGCGCTCTGCCAGCCAAGAACCCCTCCAGCTTACCTGATACTTCTTGTTCACATCAATGAGGGAGTCAAGTTCTGCTGAGTTATCAGCAGGCTTCAGGACACAGGGACACACAGACCTACAGAGAAAACCAGAAGGTGCCCCAAACCCAGGATCAGTGATGCAGAAACATGGCTCAAGACTCCGAATCAGTTTATTTTTGGTTGGAAGCATCAGGAATCTGTGCCTAGTGCCTAACCTGTGGATTGGGCCAGTGGAGGTGGAAGAGAGTGTCCCTGACCTGGATTTGCTCTTGGAAATGAGACAGCTACTTCTCATCGGTACGCGGACAAGTGACTTTCCAGAGCTGGCTCACCTTGGGACCGTCTGTGGATGGTGCTGTGCACCACTGTGTGATACACACCGAACAGCAACTGTAGCACCTACTGTGATAAGAGCTTTGTGGGCTACCACCTGTTTAATCCACATTACTATCCTAGAAGTTGAATTATCATTGTCCCCATGTTATAGAGAAGGCCACTGAGGCTTAGAGTGGGTAAGTCTTCCTCAGGATCACACAGCCATATGTATGCTGAGTGTGAGAGGGGGGAATTAAGCTGAGTCCCTCTGGCTCTGGACCCGAGAATTTTCGCTGTTGTTATTGCCACAATGGGGATTAAGCCCAGGGTCTTGGCACTGAGTACATCCCCAGGTGTTTTAAATTTTTTGAGGGGTGGGGACAGGATCTCACTGAACTGTTGAGTTCCCCAGCCTGAGCTTCAACTTGATATCCTCCTGCCTGTCTCCCAGCAGCTAGGATTATAAATATGCACCACTATGCCCAGCTAAACTTGAGCCCTACACCTCTATACTAAACTGCTTCCATCTGCCTGCAGCTCTGCTCCATCATCTGCCAACTCTGGGGTTTTGGTTGGGAGGGCTACTGCTAAGGCAATAACAGTGCAGATGGCTCAGTGTAGACTCAGCGTCACCGATGACATCTCAGTCACCGAGACAGAACAGGAGAGAGGCAGGGAGTACAGAGCACTGGAGAGTCAAGGACAAGGTGACCTTGAATCCTTCTGACTCTGACCTCCAATGACTTGGCCATTTCAGGTCTTCAAGCAGAGCTGGTAAATGACTCTCTGAACCCTTATTTTAATGGTCTAAAACCCCCAGAGAACTGGGGACTTTTTGGAGAGCTGCTCTGAAATAGGATGAACACAGTCACCCTGTGTGGCCTACTGACTGCAGAAAGTGGGGCCAGCAGATGAGTCAGCAGTTGCAAATAGCATGCCTGACACCAGCTGTGTTAACAGGCGCATGTCACCGGCAGCCATCCTGCCTCCACTCTCAGCACTCTGGGGCTGGGGCTGGCGCTCTCTCACTGGCTCTCTCTCTCTCTCTCTCTCTCTCTCTCTCTCTGTGTGTGTGTGTGTGTGTGCACTCCAGGCCCCTAGGCAAGTTCTGGCGTGAACGGTTAGGGGATCTGCCAAAGTAGGCCTTACTTTCCAAGAGCAAGCCTGGCCCTTGTGAATTAGTCATTCAGTCAATCAGCAAGCAGGTGTGGAGCACCTACACTGTGCTAGCGGTGAGTCAGAGCTCCCAGGCAGTGGGGGATAATCACCATGTGGTAATGACTAATTACCACATGATGTGTCAAGGCTGGGGGGGGGCATTGCACTGCCACTGTGACCTGGGCAACGGTCCAGTGAGCTTGCAGGAAGGAATACTATGGAAACGGTCATGTTTTGATCATAAGGCAATTTTCTATGCTTTGGTTATATGGGCATCTTGCTCCTGACAGTCACAGAAGTGTCTGTGACAGCCGCCTTTGTTAGCTGTGGGGGCTGAGGGATGAAGACAGTCTCACAGGGCCTCACAGGGTGGTTGTTCTCTAGGAACTCTATTCTCTGGATCCTGCTGATTCTGACTTGGTCATCTTCTCCTTTAGGAAGTGACAATTGCCCTGTATTTGTGAATGTCCAGCCTGGAGCACACACACCAACCGGAGGCCCTGTCCATCTGGGGATAGTGGCACTCTGGACACATCATGAAGCAGATGTTTGTTCGTAGCAGCTTCAGTGTTCCTTGAGCCCTGCTCACGTGACCTGACTCCATCCTGATGTCTCCCTCTCCCTTCCCTGGAGGATGCAGTGGGGGTCACCCTTGACATCAGTAGCAGCGTTGGGTTCCACACACACCCTGAGGGCGGTCACTGAGGCCTCTACTGAGGTCAAAAGTCTTGGGATATCCCCACTATGACATTGCCCTGGTTTTTATCTGTGTTCTTATATCCTCTCTCTCTCTCTCTCTCTCTCTCTCTCTCTCTCTCTCACACACACACACACACACACGCACACACGTCTGCTAAGGGTCCATGGCTCTCTGGGGATCAGGGAGAGAGAAGCTTCCATCTCACCTGAGGAACAACCGTGGGCAGATGACCCTATATGACTTGTATAACTCCCTCAGGTTAACGATCTGGAGCACCTTCACCATGTTCACAAATGCCCGAGGAACCTGTAAAAAGGCAGGATTGGGCAGCTGGAGCCTCTTAAGTGGGTCTGGGCCTTCTCCCCCTTCTAGGAAATCCAGGGATTTCCATCTGGGCCCATCTACTTCCTTCACCCCTTCCTTCTCCCTCCTCTCTGCTCCCCACTGACACTGCATTCAGACTGCTGGGGACCAGACAAAAGGGACCTGCCAGGGAGGCCTCAGAGGGACATCAAAGGCCCAAGCCAAAGGCCCGTGGAGCCTCTCAGAGACCATTTATCCCAGCCCCATACCTCAGCATGGAAGATGTCCAGAGCCTTCCTAATGTTGTCCGTGAAGTTGGAGGGGGAATAGCGGACCTGCGGAAGAGAAATGTCCCCTGAGCCCCATTCATCACCCGATCTCTCTACAACCAGGGCTGCTTCCTCTGTTGGCTCCTCCTCTTCCTGGATTTCAGTCAGAGTGGACAAGCTTGGAAGAGAGGGTTTGTCCTTGGGGACTCCAGCCTTCACCCCAACTCCACATCCTCAGACTTGTCATGGCTGTGACCCTCAGGGATATGCTCTGTCTCTTGGATGGAGCTAGGGAAAGCTCTGTGTCTACATCAGATTAACTAGATCTGCAGCCTGAGCTAAAGGATGCCACATCCCCAGGCCCCACTAAAACAGGGGCAGGGCTGGTTGTTGGAACAGACATCTGAGAGCAGGGCCTGAGAATTCCTGCAGTGGTAACAGCTGGTCCTACAGCCTCAACACTTCTGCTTGGGGCCTCACATACTGGGGGCTATGTCCTAAGCAAGGGCCTTGAGACAGCAGGAGAAGCAGAAGGTCTTGTGGACATCCCAAGCATACATTTTAACTCTTATTTCTGTGGATCTTGATATTTGTGGCTTTTACATTTTATTACATGTTTCCAGTACACGAAGCTTACTTTCATCTCAAGAAGTCCACGTATATAACATATCTTTATTCTTTTTTACTTCCCTTTCACTCCTCACCATCTGTCGATGATCCCCTTTCCCCATTATAATTTTTTTTAGTTCTTGTTTGCAACATATATGTTTGTATTCATTGCAAGTAACTGGTACATGACACATCTGAAATCTCTGTACATCTCCCCCATTTCCCCTCCCCTCTCCCTCAGTCCCTTGGGGTCTTCCTAACTGCAAAAGATCTCTCTCCTGTTCCCTTTTATCAGTCTTTTATTTTGCTCTTCATTTGTACTTTGCATTACTCAAATGAGAGAAACCATATGGTATTTAAGTTTGTGTGTCTGATTTATTTCACTTTACATGCTTTCTAGATGTATCCATTTCCTATAAATGCCTCACATGTATCCTTCTTTATAGCCCAGTAGTATTCCATTGTGCATAAATACCACATGTTCTTTATCCACCCGTCTGTTGGTGGACATATAGGCTGCTTCCAGGATTTAGCTATTATGAAGTGTGCTATCAACATTGGCATGCATGACCCCTGTAACATGTTGCCTTCAAATCTCTTTAAAAAGTAGTGGACCTTTTTGTCTGACTGAAATCTAAATGAACAGGAAACAAACTCTGGGGCCTGAACCCCAGGACAGAGCCTGTGTTTCATTTGCCACTGCTCAGTGCTCAGAGCAGTGCCAGGCATAGCATGGGTGCAAGACTTGGTAGCACAGCCTGCAGGGTTTCTGGAGTTCAGAGACACTGGGGCTGCAGGAGGAAGCACAGGACCCACAGAGCTTCAGCCCTGACCCTGGGCTCCCATCAGCCCTGAATGACACAGCTCTGAACTTTGCCTTGATGCCTTCATAGGAAATCAACTTTCTCTTTCCAAGTGACAGCAAAGTTGGACATGGCACGCCCTGGAAAGAGGAGTTGTTGATCTGTGAGGACAGGCAAGATTTTCTAGATCACCGGAATGTTACCTCGATTTGTAGAGTGTTATAAGGCTCTCTTGATAGGAAACTTCAGCTGAGCAGTTTTATAACCAGCCCTGCCTACTGTAGCCTCTCTCCTGGGAGGTGAATGCCCTCCAGGTCTTGGGGTTAATCCCAGGCTGGCTCCAAGCCAAGCCGTGAGCCAAGTCCTCACCCAGCTGCCTGGCTCCATGAGCCAGCAACTGGGCCATGGAAAAGAAATCCTTCCCTGGGGGCTGCTCGATGAAGGCCTGGAGACCTACCGGGTCATTGCAGAAGTCACAGAGGTCATTGCCTCCTATGAACACGGTGATTATCTTCCAGTCCTCCTGAAAATTGATCCTCTGAAATGAACAGGAAACAAACAAGTAAGCGCCCTCTTGGGATCAAGTCAAGGAAAACACAAAGTGCTGAACACCGGACAGGTTAAGTCTTCACATGGCAGAGAGTGGAGTGAACGTTCCTATTTTCCATTGGTCAGTTCTGGGGTGCTGGGGTCGTAGATGCTAAATGGTTCACTAATTTTAGGTGGCCCTGGACTTCCACATAGCTCTGTCCACACACAGTGGCACACGGCTCACAGATTCCAACCAAACCGGTAGGAGCAGAGTTAGTGTCCTCTGAGCTTCGGGGGCCCCTTTCTAGCATGGCACGTGGGTGGGGGGTGGGGAAGGGATGCTGATGGTGATTCTGGCCCCGGCCCTGGCCCTGGGAGGGAAGGTTTGTTCTGAGAATCTCTAGAAATCTGGGATTCTCCTTTTGCCTTAAGGCCTTAAGGGCCATCCTCCAGAGGAGAGGGAACTCTGCAAACTCGGGTGGCTCAGCTGCCTGTGAACAGATCTGCTGGAGAGCTGGGGCAGAGTAACACGGCAGCACCAAGCACATGCTCTGAAAACACTGCGCCACCTCTGCCATCTGCCTCCTCCAAGAGGGATGGGGAAGCATCTGAAGTCACAGGGCCGGCGGGAGGGGTGCGGTCATACACATTCCATAGGCTGTGGCCACCGAGAGCTGTGGCCCTCACAGCCGCTTACGTCATCCCCGGCGTATATAACTTTGCTTCTCTGACTTACGCTTCCAAAAGAGGTGGAGGGAGAAAGATGGAAACAAAATTCAGAAAAGTTTGACACTAAAATGGAAATATTCTGAAACCTCTCAATAATAGACTGCACAACACATTCAATTACATATAAAAAAATAAATCCCCACCGGGGATTTAGCTCAGTGGTTCCAGTGCCTGCTTGGCAAGCGCAAGGTCCCGAGTTTGATCCCCGGTACCAAAAAATAAATAATAAATAAATAAATCCCAACCTCTCTCATTATTTTAGCCACCTGGGAACAACTGAAAAATCAAGTCTGCATTGCTAATCTGCTTCATTTGAGCAGCAGATGTTCTTCCAGATCCCAAGTCATACTTCTCTGTCTCCTTCCCTGGCCCTCCCGAGGGGACTGCCTGTCCCTTCTCTGGCCTATTCTCCCTCATAGTCTTCTTTATGTGACACGTGTCAGCTGTTTCTTAACCTTCGTTCTTCATGTCAGTCTCCTCATAAGCCCCCTAAGGACAGGACTGTGCTGTAGTTCCCCGTGTATTTCCAGCCCTAGCCCCAGCCCAGTGCCCGATTCATGTTCATTTGAACAGCTGGCTGGCTGACAGTCTGAACAAGTGAATGAGAACCCCGCCTCAGAGGTGCCTGCTAGAAACCTGGCCTGGCTCCCAGGTACCCCTCAGCCCTCAGCTGATCTTTTCTGCGTCCCTGAATTGCTCCCTCCCGCTTCCTGTCCTGGGAGTCCCTCCGTTATTGCTCCAGACTCACCTCGTCATTCTTCATGAGGTCCACCAGCCTCCTGGCCTGGTCAGCTAAATCCCTGCGATTGTACACAGGAAGAAGTTGGGTGAGAAGCAGGGACTGGGAGGAGAACTTAGCAGAAAGAATGGAAATCAGATCTGAGGGCGGGAGTCCTGCAGGAAAACAGGGCTGAAGGCCATGAGATGGGTCTCCTTCCCCATCCAGGCTCCACAGAGGAGGAGGAAGGTGGGGCTATGCCCGGGAAGGGGAGAGTCCTTCACATTCAAGGGGTGATGCTCATTGTGACTATTTTGTGGTTGAGACATTTGATGATCTCCTTTTCTTTCTTTTCCAAGTCAGGCTCATTCAAGGCAAACAGAAGTCTACATGCGCATGTCATGCACAGCTCAGCACGTGTCTTTTGACAGATGCCAGGAGCCCCCACCCCTCCCACTGTCAGGGTGACATGGTCGGGCAGGATGCACCTGACTTGGGCACTTAGTTGCCTCTTGCTAATTGTGGGAAGGTGACTGAAGTTCTCAGTTTAAAAAGACTGTGAGATAGAGAGACAAGTCTGCCTATTTTAGAGGGCCCTAGGGGTAGTAAATAAAACCAGGAAAGCAGCCCCCCCTGGAGTAAGAACCACTGCAGGTACTAGACAGTGTGGGTCTGAATTCTGGTTCTGCCACTGATCAGCTCTGAGGCCTTGGGTCATGAACCCCACTCTAGGCCACACACCTCCCTTTGACCACCCAAGGGCAGTGCTGTCCACCCCCCAGGGCGCCCTGGCTCACTCAGCGCGGTCTCCTGCCACAGCCTGGTTAAAGAAGGCTCCAGCATCGTTTTGTTTACCAGTGCCAGTGGAGAAGCCCTTCAGAGAGGGGTTGAATTCTCGGAGGATGTCTGGAAATATAAGGAAGAGACGTGATTAGCAGCTACCCTCAAGCAATCTTCAAGATCCTTTGATGAGTGTCCCTGGATGTTGGGGACAAAGCAGAGTCCCTATTCTTAGTCCACCCAGCATGGGAATAAAATGTTTAGTAGGCTGATGCCTAACCACATGGGCAGCATACAGTAGGTGCCTAATAAATTGCTACTGAATAAAATGCGATTTTTCTCATGCATTTTGGCCTTTTTCTAAATATATAAAGCTGTATTCAGATATAATTCACACCCTAAGTACACCAATTTAAAAGTATACAACTTGATAGCTTTTAAGTATATTCTTACCCATGCAACCATCACCACGGTCATATTTATTTTTAATTTTTATTCTCTTTTTCTTTGCTGTGTTGGAGATTGAACCCATGGCCTTACCTGAGCTACATCCACAGTCCCTCTTTTTTAAATTTTGAGACAGGATCTTGGAACCTGTTAAATTGCCCAGGCTGGGTTCAAAGTCCTGCCTCAGCCTCCCAGAGTGCTGGGATTACAGGTGTGTGGTACCACACCCAGCGCGTGGTCACCTTTACCCATCCTTTTCTCCCAGAAGAATCCTATCCCCATTAGCAGTCAGTCCACATTCTTGTCACTTACCTTCTGCCTCTAAAGATTTATTTAGTCTGGACATTTTACATAAAGGAGATCAGACAAATATGCTTTTGTTGTGACTGGTAGCTTTCACTTAGCATGTTTTCAAGTTCACTCATGTTTACTGCATACATTAGTATTTCATTTCCTTTCATCGCTCAATAATACAGTCTACTGTACAGATACGCCACATTTTATTTATCCATTCTTCAGCTGATAGTCATTGGGGTTGTTTCTACTTTTTGGAAATTATGAATAATGGTGCTATGAATATTTGTGTGCAAGTTTTTATGTGGATTTCTTTTGGATATATACATAATAGTAGAATTGCTGGATCACATGGTAACTCTTATGAGCTCTTTCAAGAGCTGTTAAGCCTTTCTCCCGAGACAGCAGTACCATTTCACATTCCCCCTAGCCGGGTAGGAGCGCATCCTCACCGGCACTTGTTATTATTATCTGTCTTGTTATTAGTAGTGATTGTGAAGAAGTATCTCATTGTGGCTTCCATTTGTGCTAATGGTTACTGAAGTTCAGCATCTTTCGTATGCACACTGGCCATCTGTATGTCTTCTATGGAGAAATGTTATTCAGATCCTTCATTCATTTTTAATTATGTTGTCTTTTTACAATTCAGTTCTTTATAGTTTCTAGATACAAGTTTCTTATTAGATATATGATTAACTATATTTTCTTTCACTCTTTGGGCTGCTATTACTTTCCTGATGATATCCTTTAAAGCACCATATATCTTTTTTCTCCTTTTGTGTTTTTGGTAGCATATCTAAAAAGTCTTTAACCAAGGTCGTGAAGATTTGTTCCTATGTTTTCTTCTAAGAGTTAGTTTTAGCTCTTACATTTAGGTCTCTGATCCATTTTCAATTAATTTTTGTCTATGGGATGAGGCAGGAACATAACTTTATTCTCTTGTATGTGACTGTCTGGTTGTCCCACTGGCTTTTGTTCAAGACTATTGTTTCCCCCATTGAATGGTTTTGGCCTCTTTGTTGAAAATGAGTCAACCATAAATATAAAGGGTCATTTTGGACTCTCAGTTCTATTTGATTGACCTCTATGTCTATCCTTATGCCAGGGACACATTATGTTGATTAATGTAGCTTTACAGTAAGCTTTGAAATTGGGAAGCATGAGTAGGAATCCTCTGAATTTGTTTTTCTTAAGATTGTTTTGTCTATCTGGGTTCCTTGAACTTCCTCATAAATTTTAGGGTTAGCTTACCAATTTTTGCTAAGAATCCAGATGTAATGAATCTGTATACTAATTTGGGACACACCACAATCTTATAAAAGTTAAATCTTCTGACCCACCATGTAGTCCAGGCTGGCCTCGAACTTGTGATCTCCTGCCTCAGTCTCCCAAGTGCTGGGATTAGAGATGTGAGCCACCACGTCTGGCATAAGTCTTTAATTTCTATTGACAATATTTTGTGATTTTAAGAATTTAAGTGATGTATTTTTTGTTAAATTTATTCCTAAGCATTTTATCATTCTGATGCCTTTATAAATGGAATTGTTTTCTTAATTTCATTTTCAGATCATTGTTAATGCATAGAAATACATTTTTAATATATTGATTATGAATTCTGTAAGTTTGTTGAATTTGGTTATTAGGTCTAATAATTTTAGTGGATTCATATA